GGCAGTAGGCAATCTGTATGTCATGCTTTTAATTTATAAAGGTTGGAATCTGCAGTCAGTTACAGCCATGCAGATCTAGTTGAGGAAATGAGATTGCCAAGGTGTCAGTGAGGCTGGATGTTAATGCATCATCTGGTGTGTAATTAGATGATTTTTCACCTCTGAAGCAGAATTGATTCCAGCTCTCTCTCATGCAGAATGAGGAATTAGGCAGAGGTAAAATCTTCAAGGCACTGCAGTAATATAAATAATAAATTTGAAAGATGGGAGTTAAATGCTTTTAAAGGCAGTAGATAAGGCTATTCTTTTATATGGGGAGCCAAGCTGTAAGAAAGAAGGTGGCATTTTTCACACAGTAACTTCTTAAAGTGGACCTGTGCTTGTGTCCATACAGTCTCCTGCTGGGAGCTTTCGTCTTGGTAAAACATTCCTCGCAGAGGAGCTGTCTCATTATTCCCTTTCCATTGTCAGTGTTTATAGAAACTGTTTTTCATAATGGAAGAATATATTCAGTACCACAGCAACCTAATTGTCTTTTAAGTTCTCTGAAGCATGAACTGCAGGATGCAAATGACTGTGGTAGTAATAATAATCATGGCTGGGCTTCGCGAACGAAGATTTGGGAAAGGTCTCTACCCACGTTTGTCACAAGCGCACTGGTGGCTAAAAAGGCCAATACGAGACAGGCATGTCCGATTGCAAAAGGCACAGCAGAAAGACTCCTTAGGTGGTAAATTCTGCAAGGCACGATTTTTTCTGCGTTGCCTTACTGATGGAAGCCTTTTCAACCTAAGGTGACTGAAGGCCCACACCAAGACCTTAAACCATCTTGTCCGGGAGCTGCTCTATGCTGATGACGCTGCCCTTGTCGCCCACACAGAAGCAGCTCTGCAGTGTTTAACATCCTGCTTTGCAGATGCTGCTGAGCTCTTTGGGCTGGAAGTCAGTTTAAAGAAAACAGAAGTTCTCCATCAACCTGCACCTCAGGAAGTCTTCCATCATCCCCATATCACCACTGGCAAATCAGAGCTCAAATCAGTCCAGCAGTTTAATTACCTAGGTAGCCTCATCTCCTCGGACGGTAAGATTGACGGAGAGAGACAACAGGTTAGCAAAGGCATACAGTGCCTTCGGAAAGCTTCATAAAAGTTTGGCGAAATAAACACTTGAAGAAAAGTAAAAGATCAGTGTTTATAGAGCCATAGTGCTGTCTACTCTCTTATATGGATCTGAATCATGGGTCATCCACCGCCACCACCTGCGGCTCCTAGAACGCTTCCATCAACGCTGCCTCTGTACAATCCTAAATGTCCACTGGTCAGATTATGTGACCAGTACATCTGTTCTAGAACAAGCAGCAGTCACAAGTATTGAGGCCATGTTGCTGAGAACACAGCTGCATTGGGCAGGGCACGTCTCAAGGATGAAAGACCACTGCCTCCCTAAGTAATGATAATAAGCCACTGTCTTAATTACGGAACAGGGAAGAAAGGAAAATCATGATTCATCTTCAGCCTGTTATTTAGTGAGACATACCTCTGTCAAGTATGTCACACAGTCACACAAAGAATGTGTGACTTTGACAGTTCCTGCTCCTTGCAGTTAGCCCCTGGTTTCTGTCCTTGCAGTGTAGTGCTAGGGGATCTCCTGCACTGTGCTTCAGCAGACCAGGTACACCTGGCCAGCCTGCTCTGAGGTATGCTGGCAGCTGCTTTTGGCCCAAGTGGTCTTGACTGTCCCTTTTAGTCACAGTCCCACATTTTTCCTAACCATATAAAAAGTGGAATCCCAGATGCTGCTTACTTCTACAGCTTCTTTGCCATTATAGAGCCTAATGAGGCATGTTCACTACCATATGGTAGAGCTATCTCAAATCTCCAGTCTGTATAGATTATATATCACCAAATGCAAAGCTAGTGCCCAGTCCTACTAATGCTGAAAGAAACAGAATGTATGTAATTAAAATTTAAAATGGGTTATTAAATTTCTGCATACCGCAGTTTTTGAGGTTGGAAGGAACCATATGTAAAACATATACTTTTTGCTTGGAATCTGCCATTGTTCTTAGGGTGTCTCTGATCCTGTAAAAGAGAGCTGAGTTGGTGAGACGTACTTGCCTATTGCCTTTTTTCCCCAATGGCACAGCGAAAAAATGAAGAAAGAAAGCAAAATCTTGTATTAATTTTCTTTTTTCCTTTTTCTTTTTAACTGGCATGGAGTCTGCTGCAGTCTGTCTAGGTCAGCAGAGAAGGAGTTTTGGTTCTAAAATACTTCTGTTCAACCAGGTCTTCACAAGTCCTGGAGTGGAACACTGTTTGCTACACCCTTTGGTAAAGAATATTCTGAAGTCATTAGTTATTGCTCTGACAGTACGATTTTCAATTTGATCCTTTTTTGTAGAAGTTTTTCAATTTTTCACATACATCTTAGAGTATCCAAAATGAGAACAAGATATTTTTGTCCTTGTCAATAGAAAAATACCCAATTGGTCAAGTAACATACAGTCCACTTGACTGATTTAATTTCATTTGACAGCAGTGGTATCTAAAATCCATGTTTATATATTTAACCTCCGAGGAAAAAATTAAACACCTTTTTCCTTCAAGCTACAGTTGCTCAGATTACCTCAGGTAATGCCAAAAGTTTATGTCCTTGAAGAACTACTTCATTGAGCTGTTTAAATAATCATAAAACTCAATCATCAGAGACAAAAAGAAAGAAAAAAAAGGCCAAAATAAGGTTTATTCTTGGAATTGTATGAATTGTTGGCATAGGAGCTGGATCAGTAGTGAATTCTGAATTCATCTGTATCACTTGCACTTTTACTGTTGTTCATCACACTGGAATAAGTGTCCCTTTTTTCTTAGTGAAAAGCATTCTTCCTTGATCCTGAAGACCCTTTTAATGCAATTTAAGCATGTTAAGACACAGTTTGTTATTACAATGTCCTGGCAGTATATTTGGAAAGTGTAATGCATGCACATTTGAATATTTATGAGGATTTTATGTGTTTTCCATTATTCTGCTTAAAATGCACTGCAGCAAAATAGTAGTGTGACTTCACCCTAAATTTTGAGAAGTTATATTGTCATTGAATCATGCACTGATGCTTCTAAGACAGTTTAATTCTAGTTTTACCCTGTTTGACCACTAAATGTCCAACTTGGATGACAAACGTCATCCTTCCTAAACTCGTCTTGAGAGCCAGGAAATTACAAAGGTCCTTCAGAGTTTAAAGGTTTGGTTTTACTGAGCTGCTGGAGGTTTTGTGTCTTCACCAGCTTCTATAAAAATCATAGGTGATCTTTTAAAAATACCTTGTTGGTATGTAAAAGGCTGTCCCTATTAGTTGAATCACTTGAATTTGATGCAGCCCTACTCCTTAGCGCACTGTGATTTTATCATTTAGTGTATATTTAGTTAAATTCATTCATTGCGAAGAAAAATTTTCTTGCATTTGGTCATCTTTCATCTTCATTTTTATATTGAAAAACTTTCTTCACAAATAACTCTCTCAGTGTTGCAAAATCTGTGACCACTTAAGGGTCTTAAAATACTAATGGATTTTTGTCACCTCAGAATAAGTGAAAGTGTTCTTCCTCCTGCTCGGTGATAGAGAAGATGTTGGAAAGGATAAGACAAACCAGTATTAATGCTCTCTAGGACATAATTACATTTCTGTATTCCATCCTTTGCCTGGCTGAAAGCACCTGATCTTCCACTATGTGCCTCATGTTATAATTTAGTTATAAAATTTATGAGTAACAACAATACTGTGATTTGCTGTACTGCTTTGTGATCTAGTGTTTATCCCTAAGATTTTAAACATTTATGTTCACTTCATCTAAACCAGACATTTCAAAATGCTCTGAGAGCTAGTTATTTATTTGTGGGTTTATATCCTCATTTATAAAACCTCAATTTGCTTGCAAAGGACAGTGTATGACTGTCTCTTGTGGAATAATTAACAAGTATCAGTTTTGGATAATTGTGGTAGACCATTTTGAACAGCCCGTAGAGAGCTATGGTTTGGATGTTGTTCTCATTGCTGAGACTGAACTGTTCATTCAAACAAAGCTTTTTTGAAGTTCATACAGGCTTTTACTGTAGAAGAAGATGGGACAGGATCCCTGACATGTTCATTCTTTCTGCCATCTTAGGTAGTAATAGTGTGATGTAGGTTTCTGTAGTTATAGAGAGAGTATTTGGAAGTCAGGCATAACTATTTGATAGTACTAAAAACTTTTATTTTAGCAGTCAGAAGAGTGTGTATTTGGAGACAGCTTGTCTCATTCATCAGAGTTGAAGGATGAAAATGTATTTATCTTGAGGAAGGCACGTCCAAAGTGCTGTTATTTTCTTTTCAAAGAATTACTTCATAGAGTTTATATAAAATGTAATTGGTAGCAGCTTGCAAATTCAACAGAACTTAGAATTCACTATTAAAGGGTATTTTACCAGAAATGTGTGATCAGACAGCAAATGATTGTTTCCCAGATATTTTCCATAGAGCACACTGCTCCTAAGGTTTGTATTTTGGGGCTTAAACCATTGTGTGGATGTTTTATTTCAGAAGTTACTTAAGCAGAATGTCTCCGTTACCTGTTTGAAATAAAGTTAACTTTACCATTTGCAAAGATAAATTAATCTTTTGTAACAATAAAGTACTTTTTTCCCCTCAATGCACTTCCAAATTCCTATAGACTAGTACTAGTAAAATTGTGCTTTGCCTAATATTATCAAAGATATAGCTGAATCTGCATTTCTAAAATCAGAATTATGGACACTGTGTTTTGACACAGAACTTGCTGTGTCTCAGTGTCTTTGTGAATTTTAAAGACCATATCATTTGAAAAGAACTTGGCTCTCAAAAAACAAATTGGGAGTGCTGCTTTTTGTCCACGTTATCATTTCTCTAAGGGAAGACATGTTGAAACTATTTTGACAGCCTGCTGAATTTTATCTTACATCAGTGCTCTTTTATTTCTGTGTACTTTCAGGAACTATTTACCTTGTCTCAGTTCTTGGCCACCTGGCACATTCTGCACTCTTCCTGACTGTTTCTGCACGGGATGGGGGTGGCCTTCCCTCTGCCACCAATGCAGCTGTCACAGTAAACATCCTTCAGACTGTTTTGGTTCCTGCCATATTTGAGAGATCGCGGTATACCTTTTCTGTTCCAGAAGGTGCACCTGAAGACAGCCTGATAGGCACTGTAAAGGCCAGAGAGCCTCCAAGTAAGTTGCATGCTCAGTCAGAGATTACATTGCATTTTTGTTGTGACCATTAACTGCAAATATCTGTAGATTACTTTTTTTTTCTAAACTTCCATGTTATTCATTCAGTCTGTCAAGCAATAAATAGAATTTACTGTTGGTATTTACAGCAACTGGTGTAATCACTGGTTTATCATGGTACTCTTTAGAACAGTTGGAGATTTTTGGTACTCTCCTTGGTGGTCCATGGGGATTGGCAATGGCCTCCATTTTCTTCAAAACGGGTTTCTATAAATGTAAATGGGTGGATGGGAAGCATGTTGTGAAAGTGTAAGGAAGGGTCTGTGTGATGGTCTGGATTGTGTTAAAGTATTAGCCATGCAAGAGACATCTCAGAGCGATAGTCATAATCAGAGAGTATTCATAAGTTTCAGAGGATCTGTATGAAGTGCTGCTGACCACCCCTCCAAATACCGAAACAAAACCCAGCCAACCAAACATAGCCCCACATTGTCTCAAATTAGGCGGAGAAGTCCAGATGAATGTTTATGGGACCTTTTAAAAATGTATTTAATCCACCTGTTTTTTTAATCTTTTGTAAAGGGTTAAAGAGTTAGCTCCTGCCAGTCCATGGTCATAAAAGACCCTGTCCTAAAAGCCATATGTATTTGGTTCCTATGCGGAGCAGTAGGAGCCAGGAGTTCACATAACAGGTTGATGATGATGGATCTGTAAATTTAAAGTGGTAGAGGTTGAGGTTTTATACAAGTCAGGTCCTCCCATTTCCTTCTTTTGGGAAGGACTGTCCTCAGGGTGGAGGTAGCATCTGCGGGGCAGCCTTGATAGTAAAAGCCTGAATCATTACACAGCTTTTGCTTTAGGTAGCATTTGATGTATGAATGGTCACCCATGAACAGTAAGTTGATTAAAATGCAGTTCTTTCAGAGAACTGCAATCTGTTTCATTCCTTGCTATAGTGAATGCCTGTGGGTAGCGAAATTGCTCCCATAAGACTAATTTGTAAGAGTGTTTTTTCTATATTTTAGGTCAGGGAAAAACAAAAGGCTATTATACCATTTTCTCTATAGAGTTTTATAATAGCAGTGTGATGAAAATCAAACAGTGCAGAAGTGGACAAACTGTGTACATTCATATTTTACTGAAGGGCTCCAGGGAGAGGAATAAGGAAGCATAAAAAGCCCAAGAATGTCAAACATCTGTGTAGCCTACATTTATTCCATTGAATTTAACAGCATGCATTCTTCACAGATGTTCTTACCAACATTCATGTTATCACTTCCAGATATTTTTTTTTATATTTTTTGTTGTTATTTCCATTTCTAGATTCTTTAGAAGTGGTTTCTTACCGAATTTCCTCTGGTGATCCACATGGAAAGTTCTCTATTGATCCCCAGTTTGGCATTATACGCACCAAAAAACAGCTTGATCATGAAACTCAGTCTGCTGTGGTGCTCACCATTCAGTCCCAGCTGGGTAACTCCCCAGTCTACAGTAGCACTCAAGTCAACATATCTGTGATAGATATTAATGACAACCCTCCAGTATTTCTGACCAAATCTGATAAGGTAACTATTTCACATACCCAGCCTCCTGGCACTGCTGTCTATATTGCTCATGCAGAAGACAAAGACAGTGGCCTAAATGGGGCAATCAAATACAGTATTGCAAGTAAGCAGTCAAATGCATTTAGCATTGATCCAAGTCTTGGAGTGGTAAACCTTACTAGGACAGTGTTTGCAGATAAGCAGCAGGAATATACTCTCCACATAGCAGCTGAAGACTGTGGAAGTCCTCCTCTAACTTCTTTGCTGATGTTGACGGTGGTTATTGAAGAGCAGAAGATGGGCCCTACTTTGGTCTTTCAGAACTTGGTGTATCAAGTAGAAGTCAGTGAAGCTACCTCTCCAGGTGCCCGAATCCTTCAGGTTCAAGCCCACTTGCTTGATCCACACAGCGTTACCTCCAATCTGACGTATTTCTTAGAGCCTAGCACTGATTCTGTTGCATTTGGAATCAGCTCTGATACTGGCTGGATTTATCTTCGGAAACATTTGAACTATGAATGTGCACAGATACTAAGTTTTAGAGCCTTGGTCAGCACCTCCGAGGATGAAAACCTCAGGCAAAATGCAAGTACATCTGTAATAGTTAATGTCCTGGATGAAAATGATAATTCTCCCATGTTTATGCATGAGAGCTACTTCTTTGAAATTGAGGAAAATCCAATTCCCAGGGGCGTGGTTGGCACCATTACAGCTGTTGACAGAGACTCAGGAAGAAATGGACAGCTTTCCTATTTCCTCTTGTCTGATGGAAAGTATTTCAAGATGAATTCTAACACAGGTAGCATTTTATGATTTGTAATCTGCCTAATATTGCTTTTGGAAAGGAGCACTCCCTAAGGGTATTGAAGTAAATTATAAAGCTTTCAGGAACTGCTGTGAATCTTTTGGTTTGATATGTGAATATTCTAACTCAGAACTTCACAATTTGGGGAATGAAATAAATCCAATACATGTTCATGTGGAATGAACTTTAGGATTTGATTTTTTTTTTCATGACTTTGTTGAGGTCACTTAGTCATAAGTTTCAGTGTTTGAAGAAATTAAAAGAAGTTTTAAGTTATAGCTTCAGCAGTTCATACAGGGAATTTAATTGCCTGTGATCAAGTAGAGTTGAAAAGTACAGATATCCATAAGTAGCTATAAGGGTACTTACGATGTCAGACAGAGTGATTTAAAATATTTGTGAAAACTTCTGTAATTTACATCAAAACTGAGTTAATGTTGTACATGGCATCACAGAAGTCAAATTGACTGAGAGAAATTTTTCACAGCACAGGGTGTACTCTGCAGTGAGTCTCAAATGCCTTGAGTAATAGATATTATGTTCACAGACCAGAGCATGGAGAGCCTAGATGAAGGGAATCCTCCAAGGGACACAGGCATTGTAAATAATCCAGTTTAGCAAAATGATATGTAGTGAGCAAAGATCTGCTGTTTAAAATTCCTATTCCCAGACGTTCAGTCTTCATGGAGAGTGAATAGGCTTTTCCAGAATTTCTCTGGATGAATCTCAAAATAAAATTGCCATTTCAAAGCAGGTTCCTTTTGAGTCCGCTTATGGAAGTTTAAAGGCAGAGTACTAGGAGTTAACCAACAAGATCTAAAAAACCCATGTGGTTGTTTGTGTGGAGGGCATTTGTCAACCAAAAATCTACAGCTGTATTAAGCAGACGAAGAGAAGATTGGTCAGATTTATTTACTGGGTTTACCAGAATGTATAGGAGACATAAGGGCTTCTGATTAATGTTCTTAATTAATAAAGGCCCTTTGTCAGCTGTTAAAACCCTGTGTTCATGTATTATCTGTCCTGAAGTGTGTTGAAGAACAGGCCAGATGGATTTCTTTGGAAGGTCAGTGGATTGGTTCGTTTTATACCTTTGCTCTGGGGCATCCTCTGTACACTAAAGGATGTAATATGGTACTAAAGTACACGTGCAAACTGTACTGTTTCTACACAATGCAGTTTGGAAAGCTGAAGTTTTAATATCAGTGGAAGAGCGTATCACAGGGCACGTATGTTAAATTAAAATAAATTAACATTCCATGTTAAATTAAATGTATAATTGCATGCAGTAAGACGAGTGCGCTAGCATACAGTAAATACCCAGCTCCATTTCTCCTTCCTTTTCTTTGGCCGTCAGGTGAAATCATAAACTGGGTTGCGCTGGACCGCGAAAAGCAGGCTCACCACCAGCTGTCCGTGCTGGTGACCGACCAGGGGTCCCCTCGGCGGAGCGCCACGGCCGCCGTGTACATCGCGGTGCGGGACCGCAACGACCACGCGCCGCGCTTCCCGCGGCCGGCGCTGCGCATCCAGGTGGGAATGCGCCGGGAAGCGCCGGGCTCACAGCGACACCCTGTGGCGCGGGGGCGGCGCGGGCGTAACGGGGAACCTCGGGTCTTGTCAAACCATGGCACTTCTTCGCCTTGTGCGCTGCCAGATATAAAGGATACACGGATACAGTTTTATTTATGTATGCAGTGGGTTTTAATCTCTTTTAATTTTCGACCTCCCGGTTTTCTGTACTGAAGAGTTAATTAGCGATTTATGCAGACGGTAACAGAGCATTGCTTAAATAGCTGTTACTTAACCATCTCCTGAAATGCTCATTGCACTGACTGTAAATTAGTACTGAAAACAGAGCAACAGATAAACTCTTGTGTTATGGCAAGGAATTTATTCTAAGACTCATTTTATCGACGTGTACTTGCAAATTATTTATAAATTACTTGGTGACAGGTTTTGGAAGGGCAGCCATCAGGGACACTTGTTACAACCATCTTTGCAAAAGACTTCGATTCTGGAAACAACGGTGTTGTATTATATTCAGTAGAATCAGGTAAGAATTTAAAGTGTTATTAATAAGAAAAGATACATTAAGGTAACTGGAATTTTAGAGGTGCCACGTGTACATACATTTTGTGTTTATTTTGTGTTTCTGGTAAAATAAAGGTGCCTGTGTAAATAAGAATCAGGACCATCATGTGTCTTATGAAGTACCCAAGGAGGTGCAAGCAGCTACCTTTCCTCCCTTCCCCCTCTGTGCTATCTTTCCAGGGGTTTGGTTGCTTCTGTGGCTGACCAGAGTGTGTTCAAACAGCACTCAGGAAAGATTAGGACCATGATTTTGTACTGTACAGTTTAGTATTTCAGTCAGTTGTTTAACATCTTAAAGGAAAAATGATCTCCCTTTTCCCATGACCAATTGAAAATTTTCTTACTAAAATAACAGTTTGCGACAGTCTGAGACAGGGATTGGAGGGATCAGCAGATAATCTGGGCAAACAAGAGGCTTGTGGGTTTTAGTTCAAGTTTCACCCTTTGTTTACCGCTGCGTTAACCTGACATAGCATGGCCACTTAAAAACACTTTTCTTTAGTTTTTCTCATAATTCCTACATGTAGTAGTTCACTTCTGGGGTAAGCTGTAGGATCCAGTTTTGTTTGCAGTGAAATTAATAACAGAGCAGTCCTAAATTAGAACATGAGTGGGACTGGGGCATTAATACTCGTAAGAGACATAGATGTGATGTCTGTTTTTACTGCATGTTTTTACTTGCTATACTTTCATAAAAGTGATAACTCCATCTATAACCGGGGAGGTCTGTTCTTCCTGCTTTGTTTCACTATTGGTTCAAAACAGTAAGAGCTACCAGGAACAGAACTATTTCTTTCCATTTGATACCTGTTCCATTTTACCAGCTTAGTGTAACCAGTACCTTTTAAGTGTGATATTTGTAGTCTGTGGAAATTTGCACATAGAGCATACTGTATGACCGGAGCAAGAAAACATATTATTCCCTTAATTTGAATACAAATGACTGCCTCTTCCAGAGGGAATTGGAGAGAACCTTAAGACTTCTGCACTGTGAGTAAGAATATTTTGCACAAAATGATCCCCCTTGAGAAAAAGGGAACGAGTAGTGTGCAACTCTTTGTTTGACGTGTGATAGCCAGGCAACACAGGAAGTGCTTTTCAGGGGTCTCTGCTGGTCTGTGTATCTAACTATATCCCCTTCCTTCAAACAGCACATTGGATTTTCTTACTGATTTCACTGTAGAGCCCCACAGAGGAGTAAGTTAAAGTTCAAATTAGAAAAGTTACTAGCAACACAAAATATGGCTGGTCTTGCAAAAGCTGTTTCTAGAAAGAACAAAAGGATAAAAACAGCAGCAAAAAAACCCCCAAACCCAACCAAACAAAAAAAACCCCAAACCACTAAAAAAGCCCTTCCAGCTTTGGAACTAGATATTTTCCTGATAAACAAATCCAGAAACAGCTGAGTTTCTCTGATACTAATTTTTGTTGTTGTTGTTCTTAGTTGGCTCACTGCCTTTAACATCTGGTCTTCTGTTTCATGGTGAAGTTCTTGCCTGGTTTATATTTAAAATAGTATTTTCTAGTTCTGGGACACTGTTCAATACTAAAATATGAAGAAGAAATATGATCTGATTTACAGCCATATTTGTTAAACACAAAGACAAGCAGGCTAATTGGGGCACTGCATGCAGACCAGTGCTCTTTTCTACAGTTGTGGAACTTCCACAAGATGAAGAGCTGTGTGTGTCAGTGTCAACTGTTAAGCTTGTAAATGTCACTGGGTAATTTTTAATGTTCTTGAGATCTTGAAGAAATGTCAAGATAGCAGCAATAGATTAAGCTATGCAGGAGGGTTACTGACAAATGCCAACAAATTACATAAGGAAAAGTCTATAAAAGAACTGACGTTTACATGCCAGATGAATTCTGGGTTGCAGGGAAGTATTTCCTTCAAAATTCCCCTCCCTCTTCCAGAAAATCAAAGCAAATCATCCTTGAACATTTATGTGTATGGAAGTGGGTGGTCATATGACCCTACCTCCACTTCTATGTTATCACTGAAAGAGTAACCTAATTCAGAGGGAGGTGAATCCCAGCTATGCGTGCTGTTCCTTAGTGATGCTGGCAAATGCGAAGTGTATTGCCTGGCCTCCTTTATGACTGCCAATAGGATATAGTATAGCATTTACAAGAAAAATTAGTGTGTATTTATAGTGCATGTTAAAGTATTGTTTTGTGTGTTAAGACTAGCATTGGCAAAGCAGAGGCTTTTACAGTTATGTTTGGACCAGTTATGTGAAGACAACATTAGCGCTTGACCACACAAGTGCTAGGAGAAGCCTATTTTACACTGCTGATACACACGAATTGGCAAGTGTTGTATGTATGTCTGTGAAATACTTGTTCTCCAGAATGAATTGCAAGCAGTGTGCAGGGAGCACTCCTAGACTTGCAGAGGGCTGCGTTTCTGCAGAAACCATCATATTCAGGTTCTTGGGGAGCCATGGCATTGCTTTCCTCTTTTCTGTTAAGAGAAACAACTTTTCCTTCATCTCAAAAGAGAATGAGATGATCAAGGTACTAAGTATTTGCACACCTAGGGAAGGTACAGTTCTTCAGGAATTAGGTTAAAATATACAGCTAACCATCACTAAATTCTGAAGTCACTGATACCTGAGAAATCTCTGGTGTTACTCTGCGTCTGCTTTCTGGGCCATTTTGCTGAAGTGCCAGTCTGTGGAAGACCTGAATGTTTTACCAAAGTTCACAGTAACACATTCCTGGGGGTTTCTCAGGCCATCTTTTTTTTTTTTTTTGTCCCAAATTGCAATTTCTCTGATCATGTTTGAGACCACAGAGCTGAGAAAGTGCCTTGACCTTGGAAAACCTCATGTAAATGAAAGCCTGGCCAACAGGTTGGACAAGGCAGAGGTGAAAAATTTAATTGTAAAAACATATCAGTTTACTGGCAGGTTACTTTTGCAAGCACAAGAAAAGTCTAATTACCAAGAGATTTACTTTTTTTCTGTTTCATGCTTCATCTGCTCCCTCCAGTTACTTTATTTCTTATTCATTTCTCCTGTACTTTCTTCCTTTTCCCCTCATACACAAAAGGACGTATTTAGGGTGCATGATATAAGCAGCAGTTGCCTAATTCAAGTGACTTTTCGAGATGAAAGCTGAGCAAATGTTTCTGGAAATGCAGGGAGCATGAGCTTTTACAGCAATGACTGACATACTCTATGAGTGTAAAACTTTTTTTCTGATTTACAATCAAATGGTTACACTTTTAAATTTTCCAAAAATAAATTTTAAAAAAATAGACTGATAAAAATAACAGAAAAATAGAAATAAAATGTTTCAGTTTTGGCTGTCTTTATAGAGACAAACAAAATGACAAACACAAAATGGAAGTCCCAAGGGGTTCTGGTTCTATACAATATCTCTTTCCAATATTATCAGACTTTTTTGTTACCTTTATTGCTACCAAAATATGCACAAACCTGAATGTTTCATGCAATATTTGTATTTTAATGAAACTATAAATGTTAGTTTTAGCAAAATACTGAAAATATATGCATGAAATTCACATTATGTGTTCTGTTTTTCATATCTCCTCTGCCTTTTGCTTGGCTGGGATTTTATGTCATGAAGCATTATATGGAACAAAATGGCATATCTGTGAATGTAGACATACTGTTGGGACAAAAATCAGGAAAGTAACCCAAAAGCTACTTATGAAAACAGTAATATAGAACCATTAATATTTTGAAACTATCATGAAAAATGCAAAATGCAGGACTGTCTCATTCAATATATTTGTCTCTACATATTGTTTTCTTTTGTTGGCTATTTCCTCATTATGTTCCAGACAGCAAGACTCAACCCAGAAGGGACTCATGGAGAATTAGGAACCTATAATCAGACAAAAAGAGCAGAACCATACCAAAAAACCCTCCTATTTTTTGGTTGTGAAAACCCAGTTTTCTATCTAATTTGCTCAGTGGTTTTTCAAATTTTACAGGTGCAAGTATTTTACAGGTGCAGATGAGGTGATTTGGAACAAAAACGAGCATCTATATGTGCAGCTAACTAATTTGCATGTGTAGATTTGGAGAACATAAACAGCTTCATGCTCACTTAGGTGTCTATGGAAATACAGTCCTTTATGGGTGTTTTGTGTACTACATCTGCAGTGAATTTATTTTCACCACAGATGCTTATTAGAATAGCAGCTGTTATGCTGCGTGACTTTGTTTAACCCACTAGTACACCTTATTAAAAATTCATGTAACAAAAAGCTGTTTGCATAGTATTTTGAGAGAAGTAGTTATGACAATTGTGATTTTCTCTGTTTCTGGTAAGATATATGAAGTAATAGATACTTTCCATTTTACTAAAAATTTGAGAGTAATTTGATTCCATTTCTTGAAAATGGGGGATTGTGTGTCGGTCTCTTTTCCCAGGTACAGAGTGATAGGACAAGAGAAAATGGTCTCAAGTTGTGTCAGAAAAGGTTTAAATTGGATATTAGGAAAAGTTTCTTCACTTAATGGGTTGTAAAGCATTGGAATTGACTGCCCAGGGAAGTGGTGGAGTCACCATCCCTGGAGGTATTTAAAAGACATGTAGATGTGGTACTTAGGGACATGGTTAAGTCAACTTTGCAGTGTTAGGTTAAAGATTCCACTTGATGATCTTAAAGGTCTTTTCCAACTTAAATGCTTCTATAATTCTAAGTCAGAAAAAGCTATTTACTCATCTGTGGTAGAATTATTCTTTGTAGCTCTAGAATAAATGTAATATGATGTAGCTGCAAGTAGTAATTTTAATTTAAAGTTGCTTGTTACTAGAATGCCACCAGTCCTCGATGAAGGTTATAAGCATGATTTCCAATATTCACATGTTGCTCTGAAACAGGTTACTGTAAGATTTTAGCTACCCTCAATTAGGTCCTGATTCAGAGCACAGACAGGGCAGGCAGCATCACTGCAGTTACAGTGTCTTAGGGGTCCATAGGGCTCTTTGCTGACCCCATGGTCTGGCAAGGCACAGGAACCAGCCGTGTGGCCAGCAGCAGATACTTGACCCTTTGTGCTCGTTCAGAGAATAACACTTAATTCCTTCTCTGGCCCTGCCTGCCAGAGTTGGAAACAGAAGGACCAATCCTTGGGTATCTGTTGTTCTCCTGATGCACGTGCCATTGATGTGAGTAATGACCTGAGAACAAAATGGGGCAGTTGCTTTAGTACTCCATGGCATTTCTCTCTGTAGCTTTCTAAATCCAAATTAAGTGGTTTATAATAACTATGTACCTAATGAAGGAAGATGAGGTGAATGAAACAAGCCAGAGATCCAAATGAGTGCAGCAAGTTCCTTTCCTCTGCGTCCCGCTCTTTTTCAGTGTTTATCACAGTGTTCAGTATTATGGAGGCAAGCTGAATTGATTTACAATAACACATGTCCATTATTACCCCATAGAAGAGGACATAGGATACTTCCAGATTGATGCTGTCAGTGGAGAGTTAAGAACAACCCAGTCTCTATCACATGCTGAGAGATCAGACTATAGAATGATGATCACAGCCAGGGACCAGGGGATGCCTTCGCTTCAAGGACATGCTACTGTTTACATCCAGGTACTTATTTACACTGTACAGATAGAACAGTTATATTAGATTATTAATTTCTTGGAAAAGAAGACATTTTGGAAGAAGGTAAGGAAATAAACTGAAGAAAGGAAGAAGTTCAAAATTGTAAGCACCTTGTCTCATGGTAATTTTCTTTAGCCAATTTTCTGTTGAGGGAGGAAATGAGAGGGCAGACTCCTTTTGATTTGTTAAGAATACCTAACACCATTCTGGATTGTCTTGCAAATAGATGATGCTTGTGCTTTAGTAGGAGATCATTGCAAAATCCACTGTGTGCTCATTCCACCGGCTGTTTATCCAGCCAGAGTAAGGCTGCTTTGTCCAGGCCACCTGTGCACTCCTCCATCCACGGTTGAATGTCACTGAGGCTGCTGTGTTCAAGTCACCCAAAAGATGGTTAATTTTGGATAGCTTGTAAAAATATGCTTTGGTCAAGACAAGTTAGAGATCCTTTCATTTTAAAGCATTAACTTGGAACACTGCAGCAAACCATAATGAATGAAATCCTGTAATGACATAAACAATCCTCAAAAAACCCATCTGTTTGCGCTTGGTAAACTGCACAACGTACCGTGCATTCTTTGTCACATCTGTCTGTGTGGTGCTGTCCTATGAAGAAAGACAGTTGAAGTGCCTCAGAATAGAGGCAGAGATAGAAGTCTTCGAATTGTCTGTCTTTGGACCCCTGGGATTCAGAGGATGAGAGACAGTTTTGTCCCTTTTTTTTTTTTAAATGTGGCATTAAAGGATTATGGAATGGCTGACCAAGGGCTATTTGCTCTTACACAGCATGCTGAGTTTGTTTTCTGGCTTTGAAGCATACTAAGAGTAAACGTAGTCACAAATAAGAAATTATTAAACTCTCAATCAAGGAAAATAATTTTCATGTCAATATTCATAATAATGGGAAAATACAACAGTCTTTGTGTTTTGGTTGCAGGTAATCCCACTGCCCAATGGGAGATCTGGCTTCTCTCAAGATTTCAAGCACTTTGTCGTACCTGAAAATTTTAAACCGGCACAAGTGTTGGATTCTCTGAAGTGGCCTGATAATCATCTAGCAATTAACAGGAAACTGCATTTCAGTATTGCTAAAGATGATGATAGTGTTCATTTTGAAATAGACAGCTTGACAGGAGACCTTTTTCTTTCCAAGGAACTTGACTATGAAACAGCTTCACACTTTCTTTTGCAAGTTATTGTAAAGGATTATAATAATAATCCCCCACAAAATAACACTGTCTTCATAAGTGTTGACATAGAAGATAAGAATGATCATTCTCCATCTTTTCAAGATGACTTTGTTGTGATTGGCATAGAGGAAAATGTACCTGTTGGCACTCTGGTTTACACATTCAATGCAAAAGATGGAGATGGCAGTTTTCTGAACAGCAAAATACAGTATTCCCTAGAAATGAGTAACATGGGTGAAAATCTATTTCTTATTCACCCTTTGTATGGCACTTTGACCACGGCTTCTCCACTAGACAGGGAGATTACTGATTCTGTGATTTTTACAGTGTCTGCGTCAGACCAGGCAATAAATCTGACTGATCGGAGACTGGATTCCTTGGCTGTGAAAATTATTATTTTAGATGTCAATGACAACAGTCCCAATTTTACATCTTCGTCTCTTTCCTATGTCATGGAGGATGCGGAGGTGGGCTTCCTTGTACACCACATAATTGCAAAAGATCCTGATGAGGGAAGAAATGGACAAGTTACATATTACATTCTTTCAGGCAATGAAAACAAAGCATTTGTATTGGATAAAATCACAGGTACTGTAACTTCTGTTTTCTGGAGTTTCTTGTGATGTGCATCTCAGGACAACATTTGGGAGTGAATACAGTGCAATAGTGAAATACCCCGTTGGCATTCTACCCAGGTGCCTTACTGTCCTCAGGAGGGATTACCTTGAGGAGAGCACTGCACAAGCATGACAGTACTGCATGCAATGAGACTCAGCTCAAAAATTTTGGCATGACACTGTTACCATGTTGTTTAGGTGTACTGGAGTATCTTCCAATAGTGCATTAAGGAAGGTGGAAAGAAAGTGTGTGCAGTGAAATACTCCATTCTGATTTTGGCATGATGCATACTTAAAGCATGTGCACATACATGCTCTGATACATACACACAAGGGAAGGCAAGCCAAGATCAAGGAGTGTGTCCACTGTGAGTGGAACATGTTAAGTGGAGGCTCAAAGTGCCAGTGCATTTTATTCTTCAGTCCTCTGAAATTCTCTGGTTCCTGACTATTAACCGTCTTAATGCAAATGCAAATATCACCCTAATAGTTGCAATATGTTCTGGTTCTTATTCTGATTTTGAATCCATTAGTTGATGCAGCTGACACTAATCTGTAGAGCTCCTAAGAGCATAACTTATGTGCAAAAGAAGACATATATTTATGTTAAATAAAGTTAAAAAGTTAATCCCAAAGTCATATGAAAAGTAGTACCTGAACTTTAGGTGAATTTTCCATGAATCCCAGTTCCCTCTAATGTCAAAAGGAATATTCTGGGCCAATTAGCACCCTAAAGGGAATCACAGGTAATGAATGACTCCAAAGTCTGGAAACCTTGCAGCAGTGGCACAATGATGCTACATTGAAACTGTGAGTGCCGTAACAACTAGGATCCTAACCTGGACCAGAATACTTTTTAATACCTTCTTTTTTTATAATAGGACTCTTAACTACAGCCCAGCTTCTAGACCGTGAGATTCAGGAGCGCTACAGTTTGACAGTCATGGCTCTTGATGATGGAAGCCCAGCTCTCTCGGCCACGCAGGTTCTGACCATCGTTGTTCTTGATGTGAATGATGAGATCCCAATATTTACAAAGCAACTTTATGAGACTGCAGTTCCTGAAAACCAGGATCCAGGAGAGTTTGTCATAAAAGTGGAAGCTGTGGACCGAGATGCAGGTAATTTGTGTCCTTTTGCTGTTGATTTGATTGTGGACCATAGTAGACCAATCCAGTCTTGCTGCCATGCGTGTACAGCTGCTGTGCTTTTCCAAGGTAATGTATGAGTTTTGAGTTTCAAAACGTGTTTTGGTTCAGGCTCTCAACCTTTATTCAGGGCTTGGAGGTATTCTGACTTGCACTCTGGGGTAGCTTCATCTCTGACTGCTATATTAAATGTAAAATGTGCACTTGCATGACACGGCCTACTTTAGCTTTCATGTGAAGAAAGCCAACGTGCGCTGGTTAATAATTAGCAAACAATGTTCAGCTTAGTTAAAGTTAGTATCTGAATGTTTTGTTGCCGTCGATCAGAGCGTTTTGAACAGTTTTAAAGCAATTCACTAGGCATGAGCCCTCGTTTTGTATCAGAACCGGCAAATATGCACTCATCTTTTCTGACCAGAGAGGGGCACTGTAATCCAAGATTTTCCGGCTGGTTGAGCTGTGAACGGATCGTGGAAGCCGCTCTGGAATTTAAACAGGATTTTTCATGCAAAAGATGTTAATGCATTGCTTTTCAACCACACACAGAAAGGATGAATAAGGCGGGTGGTGGGTGGTTCATCTGCTCTGTGAATCACAGGTGAGGACTAAACCTGAGACAGTCTAAGCAACACAAAATTCTTTTTAGTTCTTCAACTACCTGCTCTTTTGAAATATCTAAAATGCACAGCATATGATGTTTACATCATATGTAACTGATGTAACTGCTGGAGCAGTTACACAGAGTTTTTGGTCTGCAGTAAAGATAAAATCTGAAAAGAGAACTAAATATTACAATACTGCTGCATTTGCCCAAAAGATGGTCTCAAATCTGTGCATGACTTTCTTTTTACTGTGGATTCACTTTCTGTACATCTTTAGAATTGTGTAAGATTGTGCCATCCAAAAAGTAGATTATAGAACTTTTTAGCAAAATAATTTTCTGTATTCAGTAAGATTGGTCATTTTAATGTAGAGCATATATTGATTACAAAAGGCAGATGTGAGCTCAGGAGAGGTGTTATATAGAAAAAGCCATTTCCCCACAAATCTATAAAGCATTTAGAAATTAGGAATGGGTAGGTATCCCTGTCTGTGATGATCTTCATGACAGCTGAGCAGTGCTGCAATCTGCCTCTGTATCTCACTCTTCCAAGTATTTTCTTTCTTTTGTGGATCACACTATATAAAAAAGGTGGTATTTGGAGAAAAATGTTTGCAAGATAATAGAGAAAAAGTGAGAATTTGCTTGAATTCCTCTCCCTCCTCCCTTCCAGGGGCAGTTAGGAGGAGGGAGCCGGGGTGGCTTGGCAGGGTGGAGAGGAAGGGCATTCCAAGTGTACTGGGTGGCACAGTGTGCGCCTGCCTGCGCAGACACTTTGGGTTGGAGCACTGTTGTGGCTGATTGTTCCTTCCTGCTATTTTTTTTTGAAGTACATTTTCCAGTAACCACAGTCCTTCTGTTGGGTCTTTTTCTCACATTTGCCTTATTTGGCCCCATGTCATGCATATGTAATAGTGTTGTTTCGTACAAATACTGAAGTGATGTTCATAATGTAAGAAAACTTGATTTATATAGGAGTCATATAAATATAATGCTATGCACTTTTCTTGTGTTTTTGGAATACAGTTTTTTTGAATGATGCTATTCTCATAGTGTTCTTTTTTTTTTTTTACATCATACTTTTTACTTCATTTTTATAGACTCTTTAAATTGCAGTTCACATCCCAGTAATATTTGCATAGTCTCAGTGGAGGACTTTCTTCCATCACATTTTTTCTGTTCCCTTCATACATTCTCTGACTGACCACTGGGAGGAATAATTTTTATTAGCAATATCTGCCATTCTCAACTTTTTGTTTTATTTTTCTTTCTACTTCAGTCTCTGTGAAGGGAATAGGGTCTTTTTTGGGGGAAATCATGACTAAAATTTTTGATTGGAGTGGTTTTCTTTCCCATGAATATCCATGAAACTTCTTGTTCAACTAACTCCCTCATGCACATTACAAGACCTGCACTTACTGAATGTCTGTGTTGCCTCACTTTGGGAACCCTCCGTGCCCCCCTGCAAATGTAAAAGACACACGTAATACAGGTGAATGTTAAAAAATATGCATGGGAAAGCAGAGATACCAGCAGCATATTTAAGATAGGTCAGGGGTTTGTCTTGAGGCAGGTCTTAGCAGAAGCTCTGAATAAACTAAACTACCATTTGGCAAGGCCTGTTTTTAAGCTGATGTGCACCTCTGTGGCTCAATAGTTGTGTCTGGAGCCTTAGGAGAAAAATTTCAAAAGGTTAATAGGGACCACTGACTTAGAGTTATGAGACAGGGCTTACTGCCATTCACTAGATATTATTAGAAAGGATGAGATTTGAGTCTAGATTTGGGGCAGGGAGGACATTTATTCTCATTGCTTCTTCACCAGTGTTGGCACTTAGGCATAACCACAGTATAATTCCACGGTTCTTGCTGCTTTCAACAAGCTGTAGGAGTGCAGGGACTACCCATGCTGTGGCAGGGGAACAGGAAAAGGGGCTGAAGGCTTTCCCTGGCTGCAGCTCAGGCACCATACATCCCCTCTGCCATTTGGTCAGCAGGGAAAGGGGTCCTTGTGACCGGCCAGTGGCAAGAAATGGGTTTATTTCCTCTTCCAGCTTGTGATGTGCAGGAAGAATAGTTTATTTCTCATTTCAGCTTGTAACTTCAGCCCCTGAAATGTGGCTGGCACTACTGAATAATTAACCAACAGGTTGGATTGAGTGCAAATGTGCTAGCTGCTCTGCTGTGCTATGAGAATGTGTAAAGTCATCATGCTTCTCTCTTGGGCAGGATGTGCAGCTTTTTCCTAATGCTTCTTGTACACTCCTTGCAGCTGGATATGGGAAAGAAGGTTAATTAAGATGTTACGTATCTGTGTCTTTTAAAGGCTAAAAGTTTTAATTTCGACATTATGTGGATATTCAACTCAGATGGCACCTATATGTGTACATACGTATACTATGTATTGTATGAATATGTCCCTTCCTTGACTTAGTTTAGGTGCAAATGCATTTATAGTAGTAATTCTCTTAATCACATTTCAGTAGCATTGTCAAAGCTATTAAAAGGTAAACAAAGGAAGTCATGGATGTTAAAAACTGTAGGCTCTGTTTCTTCTCTCACATGGGTGTTTCTCCATCAACTCCAGTGCAGATGTGTTGCTTGACTGTGATCTGTGCTTGACTGCAGCAGATGAGAGCAGGCAGGCAGTATTTGACTCTGAATAGCAGTTTTTGTATGACTAGGAGTGCTGTAGTTTTCCAGGTGCACCAACTGTTCCTACCCTACTAAAGGACTGATTGTTGGTTGGAAAAAACACAGAAGGATTAAATGAAACTTCGGAAAATTTTTTAAAAAATTAAAGAGTACAGTAGTACAAGCCCTTGGAGTATAATGTAGGATTAAACTCATTAAAGGTAATAATAAGTGTGATGGAGATGACATTATACTTTCCTCAGGAGGGTGTTGCAACTAGAAGAAATATGACAGAAATTATTTTATAACCATAATAGGTAAAAGTGTGGAGTCACATTTCTTGTTCAACTCAGGGATGCAACTTGAAGGAAAGGTTTTTAAAAGCCTGCACACTTTTAGCCTGTTTCCTAGAGAAAGAAGGAAAGGCTAAAATCCCTGTACTATGTACAAATGGAAGGTCTGATTAGGAGCTGTATGGAAATGTCATTCAGAAAAAACAGACAAATCTGTAGACCTGAATGTGAGGAAAGTGGCTATGTTTTACTAAGACTTCCATTCTGTTTTAAAGGATTGAATTCCTTGCTTTGGTATAAAATCTTACCAGGAATTGGTTATGAGAAATTCAAGATGAACTTAAGCAGTGGAGAGCTCGTCACAACTGCATCACTGGACAGAGAAACCCAGGAGGTTTTCAGCATTAAAGGTAACAATGTAAAATATCTATGAGTGCCTCTACAGTGGAAAGTGAGAATGGGTGTGGTGTTACTATCAGCATTACTTTTTTTCATGCCTTCTGAATTATGTACAAGTGGTAAGATTTTCTGGTACAGAAGTGTATATGCTTTTTGCATTGCACAAATAACTCTCCTACTCTGGTATTATTAAGGAGTATTTATTGTTGCACCCACAACCACTGAATAAAATTTGCTTTCTTTTTACTGCTCGTAGTTTTGGTTCAAGACAGTGGAACCCCGTCACTATCAAGTACAGTGACAGTTATCTGCACAGTGCTGGATGAAAATGATCACTCTCCCATGTTTCTTTTTCCTGCCTCTGAAATCTGGATCCCAGAGAACCAACAGCCTTCTGTTGTTTACATTAGCCAGGCTGTAGATATGGATGCTGGCAATAATGGAGCTCTAAGATACAAAATAATTGGTAAGCTACACTCCATCATTTTTGTTAATATAAATCAGGGAGTATATAAACAGCAGGATCCAAGTTTTAGACTAGTCTTGATTTTACCAGGCTCCCTAGCTCCCATCTTGTCTGCATGCTTCTTTTATGTGGAAAAGAAAAAAGATTTTTCACCTCTTTGTCAGCATTAATAAGCACTTCCCAGGCATACTTTCATTCTGCTTTCTGGATTTGAAATAGTACAGAGAGAAAACCAAAAAATACCAAATGCTGAAAGGAGGAATTAATCATGAAGGCATGATTTTGTCCTTTCTGTTATAGTTGTAGAAGTCTGAATGTAAATATACCCTTGAAAATAAGTGCAAGAACTAATTGATTTTATTTATTTAATGGTATTTAATTTTATTTTATGAGAGCTTCTTTCACTCAGCAATTAGTAATGTCATACTTAGCTTTCATCTTGCCAAACTCTCCCTGTGTCCACTGTGCCAATATAAACTCTACAGCTGTTCAAAGCCTCCTGTAATATCTTTTCACAAATACAAGTTTGCTACGCTTATTTTGGTCTGCAGCTCTCAGCAATAGCTCAAGTGTAGGCAGAGAACTACTGTGGTAACAACCAACAAAAAGTTACGAATTCCTCTGTTTTCATGATTTTCTATGATATTTAATTTAATTATCTTTGGTTTTTCTACACATTATAAACTATGTATGCCATTCACTGTTACTAAAAATGCTGACTTCTCAGTTGACTGATTCGTATTTATCTCCCACTCCTCCCAAATCAAGACCTTGTACAACTATTCAATTCCAAGAGACAGGTTTGTAAAAGAGAACAAGGAGCAAGTAATTACAATTTTCAGCAATGCTTTATAGGTTTCTGGAATTTGTAACCAAGGTTGGGAAGAGGTCACTTCATGCAGCAACCTAGATGCATGAGCTTTTATAAGGTGGGCTGGTTTGGGAAAAACGACATGCATCTGTTCAAATAGCCACTCTGTAAATTGATATGACATTCTGCACTTACTGTCATTGCCACCCACTGATTTAAATGAAATACAGGTTTTAATTTGTGTAAGAGAAATAAAATATGTGAAAGGCACATGAGCACACCAGCTGTACGAGCAATTGGATCTTGTTATTGCAATTTACATAGCACAATCACAAAGGGTTCTTTTTTTTTTAATAGTTTTTGGTGATAATTTTATTTTTTATGTGTTTGAAAGGTGGAAATGTTGGAGGATACTTCACACTAAATCACACTTCAGGCAAACTGCTGGTCACTCGTGGCTTAGACAGAGAAGACATCAGCAATTTCACTCTTGTGATTGAGTGCCATGACCTAGGCAGTCCCTCGAGGAGCTCCACTGCACAGCTCTATCTAACAGTCTTGGATGAAAATGACCACAGCCCGTTGTTTGCAAAGCCCCAGTATCAAATCTCTGTGAGAGAAGACCTAGAGGAAGGCTCAGCCATCCTGGACCTCTATGCTTCTGACGAAGATGATGGTCTAAATGGTGAAGTTCTGTACTCCCTCATTGACAACACCTTTGGAGCATTTGCCATCGACAGTGTAACAGGATCTATAGTTACTACAAAAGCACTGGACCGGGAGACCAAGTCCCACTATACATTTAGGGTTGTAGCAAGTGACTGTAGCACCCATTTGCCAAGGAGCACCACTGTCAGTGTTGTGGTGCACATTGAGGATGTCAATGACAATGATCCCATCTTTTTGCAGAATCCTATCAGGGCATTTGTGCCTGCTGAAACCCCTGTGAATGAGATAGTAGCCACTGTGAGAGCAGAGGATGTGGATCTGGGATCAAATGGAGCTATTGTTTTTAATTTGATGATAGCAGAAACTGTATTTCAGATTGATGTGAAGACAGGTGACATCATTCTTCAAGAGCCCTTGGCTTCCAAGGACTTCAGTACCCAGCTGCTAGTGACAGCTTCAGATCAAGGTATCTCACCTCGAACAACCACAGCTATGATCATTATCTTTACAGAAGAACAAGAGGAGGAGATTTCATTCAGCCATAGCCTGTATGAAGCAAGTGTGCCTGAGAACAGTGCAGCAGGTGGGCATGAAATCCCTCTTCTTGGGGTTGCCAATCTCCCCTCCTTTTGAAAGAGTAATTGTAACAAATAGTATAGGAAAACCTTTCTTTTCTGTGCAGCAGCAGGGAAAAGTTAATGCGGATGTAGCAAATACCCACCTGCCCTTTTCCAGTTCACCAGCATTAAAAAGAATGGAGGTGTTGTCTGGCTCTTAAGTTTGCTGCCCTTGTACAGCAGTGATGCTCTCATTAAATAGCTCCCTTTTCAAAGGTGGTATGTTTCTATCCCTGAGCTGGGGAAGCCTTGAGCATCATTCCTTTAGCAAAATGACTTTTGTGGTGGGTGGACAGCATTTATTTGTTTCACTGGCTGATGCTCACAAGCATACATAAGGTGAGTGTTGGGAACCAGTTTCGATGTGTCATTTCTTGTTTTGGCAATACCCTTCACGAACTGTAGTAGCTTTCAGAAATACTCTAAAACCATACTGAAGTTTCTGATTTTGCAGAAGGAGAGAGGGAGGTAGGGTGAGGGGAAGGGTAGAGAAGTTCAGAGGCTGTTGGTACATTGCCACTCAGACAGGCTTCTTGAGTGTCTCTCTATTCTCTAATGGAATGATACCAATGGACAAACCAGCTTCGGTTACAAGGTGTTTACAGATTTATTTGGGTTTGTTCAGTGTAATGATGAGAAATACTGCTCTACTTTTTATCATTCAAAGAATAATAGTGGTTATCCCTCCAGCCAATTAGGTATAGTAAGTATTTTCTTCTGCTTCAGGGACTGGTTTCATTCTAATGAAGGGCAGAAAGGAGTGCCTTTCACATTTTTCTGTCCACAAATCTCACTATACAATTGGCCAGATGTATTTAGAGATTTGACTTGCACTATATTCTTGATTCAAACACCTCATGAAGTTCACCTTGAACAAGTCATTATTCCTCTTTGTAGTTCTTTATAGTTTAAATTTCTCTCAGTAAAATGAAAGCAGTACTCTTTTATATCCTATGGGTCTTGTGAGACTAGTGAATTCTTGGATCTTGAGTAACAACCTATATATTGGATTAGGAATCAGTAAATAAGAAATGTGTTAGTAATTTTGGAAAACCAATCAATATTCTTGGATGATTGCAAACAGAATAGAGAATGAAGGGTGAAGATGCCTGTTGCAGTAATTACTGCTGAGGTTATTCAGCCATTCCTTTGTGCCTGTTTGGGACTACAAGCCAAGTCAATGTATTTTAAGATAAAGATAAAGCTGTGAGTATTACTGTTTCAATTAACAGATTGAAAATAGGCATTGAAGTGTTCTTTTAATTAAGTGACTTTCTTTTTGTTAACCACAGAGGAAATATTTTGGTTTCAGGCTATTTTTAAAAAGTTGTGATGAGTGATTAATCAAACTACCGAGCAAGAGCATCCTTCTCTCTCTCTCACTGTCTGTCTAAAAACATGGAATGTTGGAAAAAGTGAAAGGTTTCCAACAGGAAAGAGGGGAATGTGCAGCAACCTGATGGTTAAAGCACCCTCCTGAAATATGAAAGATACCCTAGGGAAATGCTACTTCCAGAAGACAGTTCTGATATCACAGCATTGTGTGTTAATCTCTGGTTTTCCGTCTTTTCACTGATCTGCCTGTTGGCAGTCAATTGTGGTGATATACAGGGGACTCTGTCCCAAGTGGCCAGAAAGCCAAGAGACCAGGCTGTTTCCAGAGGCAAGCTCTGGGCTCTGTTTTGTCTCTTCCTTGCTGCAGCAGGCTCGGCTTTTCGGAAAGTGTCGTGAAAACCTGTTTGTGAGGCTTCCCAGGAGAGTAAGGTCAAGACCCAGGGGTTTTAGTCTTTTGATGGGAGATGGAATTAACCTGCATTAATCCTGCATTAATATTTCTTTCTATTTAAGAAAAAGGAAAAGAGGGAAGATAGATTTTGTTAGATTTAAAGAAAGAGAAGAAGGATCAGGGCTTTCTGGCAATAGGTATACTGCTCTGATCCTAGATTTTCATAAGCGTAGATATGTTCCTGAGTCAGGCTAGAAAGTCCAGCCTGAAATTACAGAAAAGCCCCAAGGAACTGTGGTATCAGAATACCATAGTGTTCTCCCATTCAATCTATAGAAAATATAATTAAGATTCAATTTAAGTTGTTTTGATTAAAGGAAATTTAACAAAGCTTCAGGGTAAACATGAGGGTTTGATCACAAAATCAAATTTGTGTTTAATAATAAGTCTATTTGCTAAGAAGATCAAATTCTTTTAAGAATATGAGAGATTTTATCAAATACCAGTACTGTTTCGTCACTGTTTATGGTGTTTTCTTATTTATATAAGCATACATAAATATTAAATATTTTAAATTTCAGTAGGGAAAAAGGCATGATTATAATTAAAACTGTCATGGAAGTTAGCTTATAGGATATATGTGATCCTGGGACCCCTACGAATGTGAATAGTACCAGTGTATTCAATCCAGGAGAGATTTACATTACATGCTGATTATTTATAGATCTGGTATTAATAAATGTGGCTTTTACTCCTAATTTTATTTCTGCCTTAACTGATAGAGGGGGAAAATGCTAAGTTTATTTTAAAAAGAATAAAAAATCTGAATAATATAAACAACAAAAACCAAAGCCAAGTGTCCTTAATTTTAAGGTAGTCTAAACCTCTCAACTGGGTGAGTGCCTTGGGAACTGATCCCTGTGGTCAGATTTTCTGTAAATGTTTGACCAAGTTTAATGACCTTCAGAAAACCCCATTTTTCTATTTTTTGTTTAATATTGAATATTTAATGTCTTTAAATATTATAAACTGCATTACAGCAGGCCTTAGAAACCAGTCAATAAATAATAAGACACTGTGCTCTTTAGAGGGTAAGAAACCTTTATTATTCACCAAACTTTCAGTTGAATGGTTGTTTCCATAACAATTCCTTGGAGAAAGATTCACCAGTAAAACTTTTTGACTCCTCTATTTTTTTTTCTGATAGATACAAAATATGTAGGCTCTTACTCTGTAAGGCACAGAATCACAGAATGGGTCAGGTTGGAAGGGACCACATCTGGTCCAACCTCCCTCCTCAAGGAGGGTCATCCTAGAGCACATTGCACAGGATTGCATCCAGACGGTTCTTGAATAGTCATCTCTGTGCTCAGTTAGCTTTTCCTTTCATGGCAATTAAGAGGTCTCAAGAAATAATGGCAAGGATGAACCCAGGTCAGAAGGCAAAGGACAGGAAAAGAGACTACTATAATGAATACTGAAGAGAGAAGAAATGATACAAAATTACAGTAGCTCAGTGCAGTGCTGGTGTGTATATAAACATGTATGAACATACATATGAATGTAAAAAAGAATAAATATATACATATATATATATAATTAACATATATGTCCTAACACAAAACACAGTAAATGTTTTGGAGCTGATTTGGCCAGATAGGCAAATGCTGTTCATGCTGCCATTTTTCAGTTTCAAATCCAGAGACATAAAGCAAAGGTTGAGGTGTAGGCTATATAAAACTGTTTGAGATACTTCCAAATGAAATCAGGTTGTCTGTGATTAAACTGAAAAAAACCCCTAAATACAAACATTTTCAACTACACTTCATGTCTTTTAATATTCTTAACTAATTCAGAAGTCAATTGCATAACATTTCAAGCCAATCCGACTGCTTCCTGCTTTGATCCTGATCTCCCTTCTTCCTTGCTCTGACTTCAGTGCTGATCTCATCCTCAATGTGCTTTGTGGGCAGAAAGTTTACCTTTCCTTTATTGTTCTCCATGTTAAGCATTACATATTGTGACCTCTGCTTGAGGCAACCTTTGAATTGTGTATGATTGAAACTGCAAGTTTCAATGGGCACTGGCTTTTGCTATTTATCTGTGTAGGGCCTCTTTATGTCACAACAGACCTCAGAGTTTGAGGTCACAACAGACCTCATACTTTTTTGACAATGAGCTGTAAAAATTCATTTTTTGGAGGAATTTTATTCTGGGAAAGGTATCAGAAACAGGAAAAAATTTGTTCTCTGACAGAAAGAAGTTGTAAACAATTTTATCTGAAATGTGAAAAATGTGAAGCTTAAAGGATTAGGATTTGAGGACCCAGAACAACGGTTTATTAACCTAACCTTTGAAAAACAAGGATTCAAGTGGAAATGCTGCTGCTCCCTTTATTTCTGGTGGTTTCTCTTCTTAAACATAACAAGCAAACAAACAGAAGGACTGCAGACAGCATTAAAAGATAAATTGTGATATTCTTCAGACCTTACATTTTTCTCTTAGCTTTAACTATGTTCTGAGTGATGTGAATGATTGCCCTTGCAGGAACTTGTAGCAAATCAAAGTTTCTTGGCAATGAAAATCCAACATATAGCCCCTTATTTTAGTTCCTAAAAAACCCAAGTGCAGCATTCATATCACTTTTTACCTATTAAAAAGACGGATTTTACTTTCAGAAATTTTCTAGTAAATATCTTGACAAATACAGAAAATTACATCTGTCAACGTCGGCATATTTTTGCTATTTTGAGAGCAAATAGTAAACCATTAAAATAAAAAGTCTGGTTTTTATAATGTAATACACAGCAATGGTAAAATAAAATGTGTCAGATAGTTGTAAGAGCAATGTTTCCTCTCATTTTTTTATACTAAAATCTTTTACTCTGTTCCTTAACATCCAGGACACTGAGTGTGAACAGCGTGCCCTTTGTGATGCAATAAAGTAACTATTGTCTCTAATGCTATTTGGAAGAGTTCAGGTTGCCTCACTCCATCACAGCTGCATGGAATCAATTACAATTAAATTAAGTAATTAAAACCATTAAAATCAATTGCTATATATGCTAAACAATTTCCTCACTCACTTGAAAAGAATAATTATTTGGAAATTTTTATAATACTTTTTAACTTGCTACATTTTTGTTAAATGTGATGATTCTGAGCAGGATAATTTATTCAGTTCCACATATTCCCTTTAATCCTATTTCAAACAGGATTTTTATTTCATGTCTCTTGCATTCTATATTAAATTATTGCTGTTTTAGTGAAATTTGGATTCTCCGTGAATTGACACATAGCTGTGCACATAGTTTCATCTTTTCATTCCCTTTGTCAAAAGGTGGCTAATTAAAATACTTTATTTAGAGTGTTGTTCAGAAACTCAAATTGAATTCTGTTAAGTGGAGCAAAAATAAACTCTTCCTGGTCATTCATGGGTAATATAATGCACAGGGGAAAAAAAAAAAAAAGACTGTTTTACCTAAAAGCACTCATGAAAAGGTGAGATTTAAATGATCAAAGACAGCATAACCTGAATGAAAGGAATACATATGACTTCAGGTAAGAGAGAATTCCATTGGTTCATGTGAGTTTGCTATTAAGAGAAGTTAAAATTCATAATTTTATTTAAGCGGCTGAGGAAGTTGGTATCAGATGCATAATTTACTGGGCAAGGAGGGATAGACAGTACCTTGCCTATGAATTTGTAAAACAGTGAAAGTCATGAGGGAAATATTTTTATTGTCTACTATTTTATTTCATGAATAAGCACCTAACCTGGTCCATAGCTGTGCATCTGCTATTAATATCAGTAATATAAAATTAGAATAAAACCTTCTAAAGTAGACATGATGAAAATGTCTTATTGCTTCCATAGGTACATCACTTCTAACAGTAGAAGCTTATGAACACAAATTTACGGGAGAAGACATAAAATATAGCATCTTCAGTGACAAGGAGAGCATATTCTCCATACATCCCACTACAGGTATGTTTTTACAATTTTTTTTCAAGTCTCTGTGTATAGTTTAGAACATTAGCAAGTTCCTAGCACAAGAACAAGGGCTAGATATCTTAAGAGTACTCCCTAGTAATTAGGGTAATTCTCCTGTTACAGTGAATAGATCAGGCACAGTAAATTCAGGCACATGGAGAGACCTGCAATGTTGTAAACTTGATGTAAAAAGACACTGAACACCAGTATATCTGTTTAAGACACTCAGTTCTGATTAACTTTGGTCACCAGGTGTGGGGGTGGATAAACTTTGTGATCCAAGCTGAAATTCCATCTTGTTTCTCATCATAAAGTTGCCTGAAAACTCAATAAACAAAAACCTTCAAAACACTTCTAATGTAGAAGCATTAGAACCTTGTTGAGCTTAATGCTCTTTGTTTCAGGCAAACGTTGACATGTTTTAAAGTAGTTCATTTTTTTTTTGTGTGTGATTGTGTTCTGCAGCAGGTCTGCTTTTAGCTGCTCTTCAGTCAGGAATTTCAGGTGCAGGAGGTAGCAGCACTTTCCCCCTATGCCTTTACATGTTTGTCATCTAAGGTTCATAAGACAGCATAACTACTCTGTTGCCTGTCAGCTCCTAAACATTTGCAAGAATAGAGTTTGCCTTCTGAATAGCTGTAGTCTTTCCTTCTGGGATGGCATAGACAATGTAAGGAGTTTTCCTCAGAAATAATGTAGGTTGTACTCTTAACAAGTGGCTTTCTCCCTCAGTTTCTGGAGGCTTTAATCTGATTATCCTGATGTCTCCAGGCATCAAGTGGCATACCACTGTAAAGTTTATCATGGTTGATGCTGATGGACAATTAAAATTATTTTGTTTTGTTTAGATGAGGGGCACTTAAAGTGCATACTCTTGATTTTCAAGTCCTTTTTATGTCACTGAAATAAAGCTAGAGAGATTAGTCTTAAAGAATATCTTAGACAAGTTTATCCCCAAGAAAATGAATCTTCTCCAATATCACCTCCAAAAAAAAAATATATCAAATGGGATTTTCCTTTTTTTTTATCAAGCTAGGCTGAAAAATGGTTACATGATGTTTTGAAGAGTCTCATAAGCACTTTTCTTCACAAACAGGAGTGGAATTTCTATAGCGGTGAATGTGTCACAAGTCTTCTTTTGAGACATTTGAGCCATTGTGGTTTCTTCTGTTTCCTTTCCTCTGAAACTGTTCTGTTTCTTAGAAAACATTAACTGAAGTGTAGCCTTTAGGAATTTCTGAGAGCAGCTCTTACATCAGAATAATTTTGACACCAGTAATTCTCTATCCATTGCTTCTACAGCAAAAGTATTTTGAGCTGTATCGATGCCCTTTCTATGTTACATATTCTGAACAGCCAAAGGTGTGCTCTACTTGTCTTTTCAAGCACTGAAGTTAATTAACCATACTTTAAAGAAGACTGTCAACCACTATAGGGGGATTTATTATGTTGTAGAATCATAGAAAGTATAGTAGGAAATTACTCAAAGACGTGAACTACTCTGTTCTCTGATACAGAAGGGGAATCAATTGTGCCAAAATCTGACATCTGTAACGTTCTTAAAAGCCATCAGGGGTAACGATTTTGCAAACTCTCTCAATAATCTGAACAAGTCTTGGCAATTGGAAAGTTTTTATTCATATTCATGTTTGCTGAAATCTTTTAAACTTATTACTTCTTAACCCAGTAGCAGTAGAAGTAAGACAAAGGCAACCCCCCTATTATTTACATATTTGAAGACTGTTATCTTGGTTCTTCTTAGCGTGCACTTCTTTATAATAAGCAACTCTGGTTCTTTCACATGTTCCTCCTAGCTGGTGTACCTCAAACTTGATTATTTATTCCACTCTACACTTGAGTCTTTCAGTTTACTCTCTGTCATCTTGAAGTGTATTCCTTCTGCCACTGTCTGTTTTTCTTCCTCTGTATACAGAATGTGATAATTTTTAAGTGTTGTGCTGAAGAAAGACCACCTGCCAGCTTTGAAATCCTTATGTTCAAGACATAGATTGATACACAAGAGTTAATCTTTGCTACTTATCTTAGAAAATAAAAAAATAAAAAGCACTTATGCTATCTCAAGTTTGGGATATAGATAGTCATGGCATTGTTACTGAAAAGTCCATAGAAAACTGAATTTGAATTCCAATGAAATTAATACACAACTTAACTATGTTTGATGCTTAGATGTAATGGAGAATTATTACCTAGAACATTGAAACAATGACTACAGATTTCCAAGAACATTTCATGTTTAATGTGGAGATGTCTAGTTGTACTTGTAGTCTCAATAATTTTCATTTATTATTTTTGATAGAATAATAGTTGGGGTGAGGGAGCTCACTGCATCAGAAAAAGCCAGTGTTTTACCTGTGTGCCAGTCAGATACATAAATTACTGCAGCTGTTGCCCGATTTGGATATAGATGGAGGGCTAGATGAGGGACAAGAGTCTCTTCTGGCATGGCAGTCTCACTGTCATGTACCAAGGGAGCACACAGCCACTTTCTCTCTATCCCTCTACCAGTAAATGTGCTTTGTTTTAGGAAATTGCCAACATGACAATGATCGGTGAAAACTTAGCTGTTCATGTGGGGGGTGATGTTACATAGAAGAAGGACATGATGGAGAGCTTGCTGGAATTCTGTCATGTGTTCGGTGGAGGTGACCATAGATGTTAGGAATTTCATAACTGCATTTGTGCATGTTTTTCCCTGGATATGTGTCACATCTTGGGATTTTTTATTTTTCTGTTAATAAACTAGGTACAATCACAGTGAAAGAGCCAAAGTTTCTTGATTATGAAGTTAAGTGTAAAATACATCTTACAGTTCTGGCTGAAAATAGCTTGAATTCAGCGCTCTGTGGAGTGACAGTTTTGATTCAAGATGTCAATGACAACGTACCTAAATTTGAACAAAGCTATTACAAAGCATCAGTATGGGAAGGCCAGAGTCCCAAAATGGACATTGTACAGGTAAGTGGAAGTATATCTTCCCAAGCCCAGTGCTGTAGTTAAAAAGAAGTTTGGCTCATCTGTTCATGACTACAATCCTGCTAGGTCTGTTCTGGACCACTGTCTTTTAAAAACTGAGAATGAGCTTCTTGATGTTGCTACTACTTTGCTTGGATATCTAAAATATTAAATTAAGTTTTTTTCTAGATGACATTTCAGATCTTTCATTCAGGTTTAAGTTGAAAGAGAATTCTGTATCTTCTTGATAGTTGTGCAGCTGGACTTTAAATTCTCTTTTTAAAAAATTTATGTTTCTATCTTCAAGAAGTTGAAAGATACTATTGAAATCTGCGGTTCTGGTTACAATAGAGGCTGGATCTTGTACTAATGCATCTACTGAAAGGGCTATAGTAATACAAAGAATACTTTCTACTCATCAGACTAGTAGAATCAAACCCAAGTGTTCAATTTAAAATCTGATGCCTAAAGAGCAGCTTGTCTTAATTTAAATGTGCAAACACTTCTTCCTCTGAATGGATCCATTCTCCCAAAGTGTTTCCATCTGGCCATGTTAGAGCAAAAGAATACATCAGTTGGTCTAGAAGAACACATAATTTCCTCAGTGTATGTTCTTGCATTGCAAGTCAGGTCACAGTGAGGGTCATGTTAGGTACTAAAGATATTCTTTCTCTAGAGAATAAATAAATGGAACGCTACAAATGCCTCCAGGGCAAAGTGATTAGAAACTGATGGACGTTGTATTTAGAGAAACATATGTCCAGGAATGAAGAAAAATCAAAAGGCAGTCAAGCCAGATGTGTAATCAAAATTTTATGACAGAATACATTCTATTATGTTTCCTTTATTCAATCTGACTGGTTGCTTCTGCTGTGGTTTGGATCCCATACTCATTATAATGCTTGTTCAGCAACCAGAAAAATACAAAGATGACTCTTCAAAGAGTCAGAGGAGTCTTTGAGAAACCTGTTCATTGCTGATGGATGTTAGTTATTCTGTTGGTTTTATAGATTGCTTCTGCCCTTTTTATGTTTTCCGGTTTGTATTTTTAAAAGGTAATTAACTATTCTATGAAAGATCCGAAAGCTTAATAGTTTAATTATTTTATGCTTTGTGTGTTTGTATAGCAGCAATACTTTAAGGTCAGTCCTGTACCACTGAGAAAGTGCATATTTGTGTACTAAACAGGGACAGCATTCTAACAGCAACCTAATAGTAAAATTATTATATTCAGCCCTAACACTTTCTTTAGCTGAATTTCAGATTACTCATTCATGTGCAGCCCATTGCAGTTCATAAGCAGATTTTGTGACCTCACATGACACTCATGCTGGGGACAAAGACGATGATTTATTTAAATCTGTGCAGTTGAAAGGAAAGTAACCAGAAATATCTGACTGTAGTATAAGGTTTTCTTTCTGAAATTGCATTCTGCAGGTTTTAATTAAGCCTCACGTTTGCTCACAAACAGGTATTTGCAACTGACCTTGACAGTGGGCTGAATGGAGAAATGGAATACTCAATTTTATCTGGTAATGAAAATGCAACATTTCTAATTGATTCAGCACGAGGAATTCTAGCAACAAATACAGGCCTAGATCACGAAAACACTTCATCTTACAGGTTTGTATGCAAGGTTCTCATAAAAATGTATTTTTCTTTGTTCACTCTAACTTGAAAATGCTCATATTGCATATTTCATATTTCATAGTTTCCTGTTGATATCCATTACCCACAGAACCTGGGTGCAAGCCAGACAGCACTGAGAACAGCACTAAAGCTGCCCATTTGTACTATGGATTCTTGCATACTTATCAAATTTAGAGAAAGAAATAGTCTTGTTTAATCAATGGCAACACTTACTGACATAAATGAGTGTGATGATTCACTAAGGAACAATGACAGTTCCTGGATTTTAGTTTATGAAGAACTGTATAGCCACTCCCTCTCTGGAAACATTCTTTATAAATATGTAAAGACACAGAGAAAACATCAAATCAAATCCAAGAAATAGAGATATGTTCTGGTTTTAGATTAGAATATACTTAAATTTTCTTCTCCATAATCTGATAAAGATGCTTTTGTAAACTGTTTTCAGCTATAAGCTGTCTTGCACTAAATATTTTTCCTGTTTTTCAAGAAACTGTGCATAAATATGGTCAAGTGGACATAACAATTTTTCTTTGCAGGTCATGCCATAATTGGAATTAGAAAGCAAATAAATCATGCCTTGAAGACAAATATGAGTATGCAGATTCATTAATAGACCCTTTTTAAGTACCACAGTCTCCACAAAAAGTAGATTTCTTGTATGTGTCAGTAGAAATTACGGGGTTTTTTACATATGGTTGTAGCATCAGTAAAAATATTTGCAAGTTTTCCTGTCCTCTGGGACCTTAAAGTTTTAAACATCCAATAAGAATTCTTATGTATGTGAATAACTTGTAGAAAATGACATCAGAAAGATTGAGAGAGTATGTGGGGGGTTTTTCTTAGTATCAGTGTAATTTGATAATAATGTCCTAAAAAATATATGTTGTTTTAACATAACATATAGGACACTTAACTTGAAGTTTATTTTTCAGTTTTTCACTGAATCAAAAACACCAGTTCTGATTTTTAGTAATTTAAGTAGTGTAACACATTTTATTTGTAACTAGGTACTTTAAAAGAACACTTGAATAAATCCTTCAATGGAAGGATGTTTACTGCTGGTGAAATATTGAGCATATGAGCATAATTCTCATATCTGTCTTTAACTGGCAACCTGATTTATTTCAGCATTTATGTTGGAATTCTAGCCTTTCAAACTGACAGTATATTCAAGGAATATGAAGCTTCATATTCCTTCTCTTTATAATTAGTTATTAATCTGTGTTAATCACATTTTTATTAATCTGTATTAATCACATTGTTAGGTGAATAGTGAATAGCAAAAGAAGCTTTCAAAACTGTTTTCCTGTTTGATTTCAAAATGTTACCATCAGTTCTTTCAAATTTGCAAGGAGTTGCTTATTTATCTAAATTGAACATTTTCACCCCCAGAAGTTCTAAGTCCCTTATAATAGGAGTTATAATGGAAGTGTTGAGAGAATTTTAATGCCTTGGCTAAGATGTTTTTATGAGAGGTTTTTTTCCTGAAACCTTAGAAAGTGATTATTTTTAGTAAAATATTTCCATATGTATACCTTAACAATATTCATTCTAGAAAAAATACATTTTTTGTATGGAATTTTGCATGGTCATTGATTGAATACTGGTCTGCAATTCAAGTTATGTCTTCTGTCAGTGTCAAAAACCACAAGGACACCCAGAGCAGAGCTGGTGTGGTTCAGGAATGGAAGTGCTGCAATCCACAGCTTGAGTTACAGCCTGGGTATTCCATGTTATCATGTGAACATTTAGGAAGTAACATCTATTTGACACTTTAAACAGAAACTGTGACTTAGAAGAAAGAAAGAGAAATAACGCATTCGAAAGATCTTCAGTGAGACCCAGGCAATATGGTGTGACATGTAAACAATTGTTATTGCATAAAACATTTAATTGAGATGCCCAGCTTTGACTTTTATATCCCTTCACATAGCTTCTTTTTTTGTCTGATCTTTACTACCCTTCCTTATGCAGGTGTAATATGGAAGTGTATAGGCCAACTCTTCTAATCTGGCAGTGAGATTCTGGTCCTGCTAAAATCAGCGGGAACCTTACCATTGTCAAATGGTGCATGTATTCAGGGTTTTCATTTCATCACTTACATTTATAGTGTAATGGAGGGGCTATTCAATGTGTCTGCAGGCATTTTGGCTGAATGTTACTTTGGATGTTTTTGTATTACCCCATTTTCACATCCCTGTTGTCTCTTTATAAACAATGAAGAGAGATAGGTTCCTCCAAAGGATAATTTAGTGCTTACATTTTAATTCCTGCTCTGAATTACCAACTGAAAAACTGTGTCTTATTTAAAAGAGTTGTTTAACCACCTGCATTTGGTATGTAACTGGATGAAATGAATACAGAAAAACAATTCCTTTTCTTTGTGTGATTTTAATATATTTTTACCCTGTAGAATCTCCTGGACATTTTTGCTCAAAGATGAAAAACTAAAACTCTGGATAGTCAACCTTACAGAAAGAAAGATGGAATTTCAGAGTTGCCATGAGGAACAGAAATGACTAATCTTTTTGGGTTTAAAATTTCCCCTGCTTATAACATTGGTGGATAATTCAGTGATTTCTGACCAAAAGTGACAATTACTGCTTCCTTTAATTGTAGGTTGGTTGTACAAGCTGCTGATAAAGGAAACCCCAGACTCTCTGCTACAAGTATTGTGAGGATAGAGGTGTTAGATGTTAATGACAACGCTCCAGTTTTCCAACTGCTAGGTGAAGTGGAGGTCCCAGAAAGTAAGTGTGATAGTACAGCTAAGTTTTGTTAAGGCTGGGAATTGTGAGATAACGGTAGTGCTTTTGGTGATTGGTGTAACTAAACAACTGTAGTAAAAAGGCTAATGGGTAGTATTAAAGCTGAAATATCAAAATTAATTGTGTTTTGCTTTTGTTCTCAGAGGCATTGTTCTTAATCTTTAGACATTGTGTTTAGGAATAGTTTGGAACAAAACCATAGGCAATTCATAAAGAGAAAAAAATCTGCAGAAATACAACTGTAATCTGTTCATTTTGAACTCCAGTATCATATCCTTCATATGTCTTCAATTTCCACTTTTTTCCAATAAAAATGCTTGGTGGTAAAACTAGCATTGCTAGAAATGAGACATTTTGAATTTCATTGTGATGAAAGAAATAATTTCTGTAAATTTGAATGAAGTGTTAAAATGCTCTATAACTTGATCCAGTTGATGATCATAAATAGGAGGACCCAGGACCTCCCAAGTTCTCATCCCAGCACACATCTGGTATGTTGTGTGATGTTAGCTCAACATTTGCAGATCTTGAGTCTTAAGCCCATAACTTTCAAATACAGGCATCATATATGTGAATGCGTTAAGATACACAACGGAAAATTTATAAAGACTTAGGTGTTGAAACCCCAGTAGTTCTGTTAAGAAAAGATATCAAGGCTGTCTTTCTCGTGATATGTTTTAGCCTTTCCTAAATTTAGCTCCCACTGGTAATGACAGGTACAGAATTCATGGATGCACAGCAGCTGTAAATAGTAGTTACTTATTTAGCTTTTTGTATGCCGTTTAAGAACAGTTGTTTTACGATATGATACAGTATTTTTGAAGCCTCATGCCCCAGGCATGCAAATGGGAAATGGTTTAGCTTCTGTTAGTTCCAGGCTTTGTTAAATGATCACTAATAGGTTCAGTTTGCAGTTACCGGTACTGTCAATTTAGCCCATGACAAAGCTGTCTGTATCCAGTTTCTCAACCTCATAGGGTTATACCTTGATAGACCCTAATATTTTTGTACCATGTAGGTCTGTCTGGAGGTCTCCTTTCTCTCTAGTGGCCTCCTCCTTTGAAAAGCTTCAGAATTGCATTTGCTGGTTCTACACAGACCAGGGGTCTCTGATGCCTCAGTTAAATATTCTTGTGGAGGTTTGTGACATTGTTCAATAAATTCATGTCACCTAAATGCTCATGTAAAACCATGTAAGTTCCTGTTGGTAGCAAAGAAACAGTTATGACTACACTGGATCTGAGAAAGTCTAGAGAAAACCCAAATTAAAACTGGGATACAGCACATACCTTTGAAGAAATCCACTACTATTTCCATACTGTTTCTGGATACTGTGCTTATTGTAAAACACAAAGTTAAAATACATCAAAAGCTATACTGAAAGTTTACATATATCAAAGATTCAATATTACAAAATAGGCAAAATCCTCAGAAATTGTAACATCATCTTTTAGCTATGACTTATTCTCAAAATTATTGTTTCAGATGCCCAGCCTGGTTTTATAGTGACTCAGGTGTCAGCAAGTGATGCAGACTCCAGGCCAGCACTTCAGTTTGGTTTTATTTATGATAATGGTCCTGGAATGAAATTTACCATCGATCAACACACTGGTGTAGTCACAGTAGTGGAACCATTAGATTTTGAAGAAACTGCTGTTTATAAGCTGAAAATCATAGTTTCAGATTCTGTGCATCAAACAGAAGCAGAACTCACTATCCTTGTTTTGGACATCAATGATAACCCACCAGTCTTTACTCAGGATTCATATCAGGTGAGAACATGGCAAATGGACAACAAACACGTGATAGATATCTTTCCGTATATGATGATAAATAGTAAGAGTACTTGTTTATGTTTGTCTTAAAAATGCATTTGAGCACCAAGAAGAAAGGTCTCTGCAAACTATTTCTGAGCAGAAACAAAGCAGAGCTCTTCTGGGAAACCCCAGCCTCTTCCTAAGAATTCTACTAAAAGAACTGAGGGAATTGTTCTGTTTGAATGTTTGTGGTTTCTGACTTCAGAAGGCAAGTGATGTGAATGCTAGCTGTATTCCATACACCATGCATTCATCACTAGGAGTTACGGGATATTATCCAAACCAGTGAGGAGCAGGGTTCAGTGTTCAGAACTTCCTTCTTCTGAGAGAATGGTGAAGAAGTTGATACATTTATTCTGACCCTGTTACTATGGCATGAATTTCTTCATTTTCTGTTACACAGCTCCACAGAGGTGTAGCAAGTGCCCCTGTGATAGTTCATGCACTTATAGTTTGTAATGTGTAACCCTGCCTTACAGTAGTGGTGCTCATCTAGGGAGTGAAGCATAGGAGTTCTGACTTCCCCAGTTTCCCCTACTGGACTGAGGAGGGTGCAGAGCTCAGCTTTTGGACTTTTGGACAAGCATTTGAACTGCTATACTGTTGTAGAAATCAAATTGTCTAACAGTGAAACAAAGCAGTTTTAGTCACTATGGACAGCTATGGGCCACTGAGATGATTTAAGAAATTAGAGCGTCTATAAAACAGAGTCACAGATTTCACAGAATATTGAGTTGGAAGGGACTCACAAGGATCATCAAGTTCAACTCTTAAATATGTGGCCTGTATGGGGATTGAACACGCAACCTTGGTGTTATTAGACCATGTTCTAGCCAACTGACCTAATCTCAGAGTCATTGAGTTCTAGAATAATTTAGGATGGAAGGGACCTTTAAAAATCATCCAGTCCAACTGCCTGACCAATTCAGGGGCAGACCAAAAGCTAAAGCATGTTTTTAAGGGAATTTTCCAAATGCCTCCTAAACACTGACAGGCTTGGGACATTGACCATCTCTCGAGGAAGCCTGTTCTGGTTTGACCACCGTCTCGGTAAAGAAGTGCTTCTGAACGTCCGGTCTGAGCTTCTCCTGGCACAGCTATTGAGCCATTCCTACGTGTCCTGTCACTGGGTTATCAGGGAGAAGAGCTCAGCACCTCCTTCTCCCCTTCTCTTCAGGAAGCTGCAGAGAGCAATGGGGTCACCTCTAAGCCTCCTTTTCTCCAAATGAGACAAACCCAGAGTTCTTAGACACTCCTCATCGGACATGCCTTCCAGCCCTTTCACTAGCTTTGTTGTCCTCCTCTGGACACATTCAAGAACCTTCACACCCTTCTTGAAAGGGTGGGGCCCAGAACTGCCTACAGCACTCAGGGTGAGGCCACACCAAGGCTGAATGCAGTGAGACATTCACCTCTGTTGACTCTCTGGTGATGCTGTACCTGATGCAGCCCAGCGTAGAGTTTACTGCCTCTGCAACCAGGGCACACTCTTGACTCACATTGAGCCTGCTGCCAACCAGCACCCCAGATCCCTAAAACAGTATGGAATGCTTCACGAATTTGCGTGTCATCCTTGCACAGGGGTCATGATAACTTCTCTGTGTCATTGCAGTTTTACTATCTGTGCTGCCAAAGTGAGCATGATATCACACAAGACTCTCAAGAGCAGGCTGCTAAAAGGGTTTTGCTGACTTAATCAGCCGTAGGACTGTGGGGCGTGGTCTAAGGCTCAGCAGAGGTAACAGCTTGGAGTTAGGGCTTGGAATGGGAGAGAGACAAAGCCTGGAGCTTCAGGTTAAGGTCGGCTGCAATAAAAGTGCCACAGGAGAAATTGGGTGCCAGAGCAGTTGTTTCCTTAGGACTTGTTGGTGTGGGACTAGGCCTGTGCAGCTTGGGCTGAGGCGCAGGAGAGCCTAGAGCATGGATAGTTCAGCCTGGAGAAGAGAAAGCTCAGTCTTACCAATTTGTGTAAATAATAATGGTGAGGAGTAAAGATGGGCAAGTCAGATGGGCAAGCCACACTCCACTCTGTGGTGTCCAGTGACAGGACAAGAAGCGTGGGCACAAATCAAAGTACAGGAAATTCTATTAAACATCAGGAAACATCTTTCTCTTTTTCTTTTTTTTTTTATTTTTAAACCTCTAGCAGTGACTAAGTATTGGCACAGGTTGCTCAGATCAGTTGTAGAGTCTTTGTCTCTGGAGATATTCAAAACACATCTGTACACAGTCTTGGGCACCCTGCTGTAGGTGACCCTGCTCTGAGCAAGGGTTGCACAAGGTGACCTCCGGAGGTGCCCACCAACCTCAGCCATTCTGCAATCCTGTGAACTGAACTGTTTGTTTGATCTGGTGCTTTTTGTGTGTGGTGGACGTCCTCAGAGCCAAAAATATGAGGCACAACAGAAGACGTGGATTGAATAATGCTTCATTTATAAATATCAGACAGATTTATTCAAGAAATAAGTCTAAACATTTGGCTTAGTAAAGAATTTTCAATCTATGAGCAAGTGCAGGCACAGTGGTTTAGTCACTTAGATACCTGTAAAACTTTCAGGTGCCTGAGTTGTCAGGATTTATGTAAAATTCCCACTTGTACTCATAAATCTACATTCTGGAAAAAAATGCACTATTAATGCTCAAGTGATTTTTAGACTTTAGTTTTCTTCAACCCTCCTATGTGTCTGATTATGGATAATAGTTTAGGCAAGTACTTTCTTCTGCAAGTGCTAGGAATTTTTTTGTAGATTGGAGCAGACATTATAGGCAGCATTATAAAGTGATGCAAAACAGTGTAGCTCTATTGACCATGTTAACATAAACAGCTGAGCTTCTCTTTTCCACAATCCTTATGTTTGGATGTGTTGCTTGGAGAGCAAGATACAGTGCTGCTTTTTGGTCAATGATATGTATAATTCCCTATTCATCATCCTGTATTTTTACCCTTTTATTATCCTTTCAAGTGTTTTCATATTTATGCTCCTTATATATAGTTTAATATATACGTATGGTTATTATATACATATAATCTCTCTGTTTAAATTATTTAAACTAACACTTCAAGTTATGACAGAGGTAGCTGCTATATCATGCTGTTCATTTGAAATTTATACTTCCAAAGATTTATACTTTGGAAGGAAACTTTGGTCACAAAAGTACTGTATCTGGACTTCAAATAATGAAAATTGTTAAAAAGGGAATGGGCTTTCTTGGTTTCCTAGAGGAAAAAAGGGAGAATTTTGAAATACTAAATTCTAGGAATAATCCAGTGCTCTAGTGCTGGAATTTTCAGGGTGCATGTATTGGGTTTTTTTTAGTGGTTAAGCATATATTCCAAACAGAGACTGCAGACTGTATTCCATGTATGGAAATGAAGGTGTTTTTGAAAGCAAGAAGAAAAGCTATTAGTTGCAGTCCATTAATGTAATTTTGAAAAAAGTGATTCATTTATTCTCTGAACTCACTGTCATAATGAGCTGGGTGGATTTTACTACTGCTTATAGTGTACTGTGAATTTTAGCTGTATTAAAGGCATAGTTTTCAATATCTCAGCTCTTTATAGTTTTGCCCCAGAAGAAAATGGGTAAGTAAAACTTTTTCCAAAGCTGGGAACTGTGTGTGTTTTTTTCTAATAAGATCAAATAAAGCCAAATGTATACTTTTTATGTTTCAAATATTTTATTAAGCTCTATTTTTGCTTTATATGTCAGGTGAACTTGCCAGAGCTTATTTCTATGGATGCCACTGTTCTGACAGTCTCTGCAACAGATAGAGATTCTGGGCATAACGGAATGATTTCCTACAAAATCCTCTCTTCTTCTGAGGGATTTTCCATTGATCACAAGAATGGTGAGTCTGTAAGCATGGCTTATTATTTCAGCTTTTTTAGTGTAAATTGAAGAGTCCTATTGCTTCCTCACCTGTTGCCAGCGATTAGTTGAGTTCTGGAAATTTTTGGTGGCCAAAGTCCATGCATATGTTTTGGCTAAATCTGCCATTATCAGTGAAGAACTGATCGCATCAAAGACTGGAGTTCTCAGTTTGTCCCGGAACCATGCATATTTTTGCTGCTCTAGATGCAGTATGTGTATTTGATACTTTATTGTTGTGGGGAGGCCTTGGCTTCACAGTATTAGCTATGAGTTCTTAGAATCACAAAATAGTTTGGAAGTGATCTTTAAAAGTCATCAAGTCCAACCCCTTGCAATGAGAAGGGGCATCTTCAACTAGATCGGGTTGCTCAGAGTCATGTCCAATCTGACCTTGAATTTTTCCAGGAATGGGATATCTACCACCTTTCTGGGAAATGTGTTCCAGTGTTTCACCACCCTCATAAAAAAAAAATAGTTCCTTATATCTACTCTGGCTTTACCCTCTTTTAGTGTAAAACCATTACCCCTTGTCCTGTCACAACAGCCTGTCTGTCCCCATCCTTCTTATAAGGCTCCTTTATGGCCACTGTGAGGTCTCCCTGGACCCTTCTCTGGGCTGAAAAACCCCAGCTATCTCAGCCTTTTATCACAGGAGAGGGGCTCCAGCCCTCTGATCATTTCTATGGCCCTCTTCTGGATTCGTTCCAATAAGTCTGTATCTTTACTGTGCTGAAAAGTCCAGAGCTGGACACAGTACTCCAGGTGGGCTCCAGCAAGAGCAAAGTAGAGGGACTGAATCGCCTCCCTCAACCTGCTGGGCACACTTTTTTTAACACAGCCCAGGATGCAGTTGGCCTTCTGAGCTGTGAGCACACATTACAAGTTCATGTCCAGTTTTTTGTGCACCAGTATCCCCAAGTCCTTCTCCACAGGGCTGTTCTGAATCCCTTAATCTCCCAGCCTGAATTGGTATCAAAGGTTGCCCCAACTCTTGCGCAGGACCTTCCACTGAGCCTTGTTGAACTTCATGAGGCCCCACTTCTTGAGCTTGTCCACGTTCCCTCTGGATAGTATCCCATCCCTCAGGCATGTCAGCTACACCACTCAGTTTGGTGTCATATGCACATTTGCTGAAGGTGCACTCGATCCCATTGTCTGTGTCACTGATGAAGCTATTAAACTGTACTGGTCACGGTACAGACCCCTGAGGGACACCACTAGTAAGTGATGTCTATCGTGTCCATCCATTGAGCTGTTGACCCACTATTCTCTGGATGCAAGAGATTTACTATGGTTTGTGCAGCCATTATGGTTGAGTCATTTTCAAATATGACTGTTTAGATTCAGCTTTTGGAATCACATTTACTTGCCTGTGGAGTGTGGCCTTTTGTTAATTCTTTTGTATTTTCAGGTTCAGTGTTTGCTACAGGACCAGTGACAGAGCTGAAAAATATTTCCACTATTCATCTTCTGATAGAAGCCATGGATGGTGGCAGTCCCGCTCTCACTGCAGTTACTTCCATAGCGGTGCACATAGAAGATGTAAATAACTATGCCCCTCAGTTCACAAAGGTTCTGTACAATCTCAGCGTGAGTGAGGATGCCTCAGTCGGAGAAAGCGTCCTCATGTTTTCAGCCATCGACTATGATTGGACCCATGAAAACACATATGTTGAATACTCTATTATTGAAGGCAATGCTGAGAATTTATTCTCCATAGAAACAAGCGTCATGGGGTCAGAAACATCCTACAAACTTGTTGGCAGTCTGGTTTTGAGCGATGTTCTTGACAGGGAAACAGCTTCTTCTCACCATTTGGTCCTCCTTGCCTCTGACTGTGGAACACCCTCCTTGAATTCAACTGCTACTGTGCTAATAACTGTGCTGGATGTTAATGATAATGCTCCAGTATTTAGCAGCCCGGAATACCATGTTCATGTCAAAGAAAGCATCCCTATAGGTAGTCATGTCACCGAAGTTTCAGCAAATGACTGTGATGCAGGCACTAATGCAGAGATCACTTATGCTATCATCTCTGGAGACGACAGGGGACATTTTCGCTTGGATGAGAAAACAGGATCAATGGATTTGATGAAAATGCTGGATTATGAGGATACCATGAAATTCACTTTGATCATCCAAGCCACAGATGGAGGAGCTGATATAAAAAATATGGCTTTTGCTGTTGTTTTTGTAAATGTCCTAGATGACAATGATTATGCCCCGCTTTTTTTGTTTCCCAGTCTGAGCTGCATTGTCAGTGAAAATATGCCTACATTTTCTTTTGTGTGCGCTGTTTGTGCACTGGATTTTGATAAAGGCTCCTATGGGCACATTACCTACTCCATTCAGTCTTCATGTTTGGCTCATCGTGAAGCTCCTAGAGACCATGACATGTTCTTTATTGATCCTTTGACAGGAGATATTCATACAAAGCAAATGTTTGACTATGAAAGTCAGAATAGGTACTGCCTCATAATCCAAGCAAAAGACAAAGGTGACTCATTGGCTACCATTACAGTTCAGGTAGATATTGAGGGGAGAGATGAATTTGACCCAGTATTTACACAAGAACATTATTTTTTTAATCTCCCCGAGAAGAATGAAGCAGGCCAGTTACTTGGCAGAGTGACAGCATCAGACAGTGATGGTGGACTGGACGGAGTTGTTCATTACTCTCTTCTAAAACCTTCTCCATTCTTTTCTGTGAATGAAACCAGTGGTAATATTTATTTGACTCACACTGTTCACAGAAAGAAAAATGGCATCAAAAAGAATGATGATAGTCTGGAAGTGTTGGTAAGAGCTCATAGCCCAAAAATGGAGTCAAAGTTCACAATATGCACTGTTTTTGTAAATGTTTCCAGTTCTCCTGATATTGATCTCACAGCATCAGCACACAGCCTGACCATTAGTGTTTCCATTTCATCGATAGTGTTCTTGCTGCTTGTGGTCGGTCTGATCGCACTTACTCTGAGACATAAGCGAAAAGATCCGATGAATGCTTGTGTGAAAAAAGAAGCAGTTTCCTCCTCAGCTACTGATGTGAATTCAGCAAGAGAAGATAAGGACTGCCAGAAAATCCAAAGTACTGAGAGCAGTATGCTTCCCATGGGTGCTATAGCAAAATGGCTGAGCCTAGCAAGAATTGGAGAGGGGAAGGATGATGATGTCCCCTGCAGGCATTCAGACTCCAGTGGCCATGGTTCTGCTGAAGGAGAAACTGCAGAGGATGAAGAAATAAAAAGGATCAACGAGTATCCTTGCAGAAAAAACACCAGCTCAGCACTGAGCGAATACGGCTCGCGAATGCCAGATTCAGGGATCCCAAGAGAGTCTGATCAGTTCTCCTATCAGTCTGGAGAAATGGATGGCATGGCTACCATGCAAAGCACGGAGAACATGCAGACCATTAAAGGAGAAGGCAGAGAAGAAGCCTGTGACACAGCCTATGCACATGAAATTTTGTCTCAAACACTTAAGAAAATTGGAATAAAAGAGAAAGGTATAATGACAGACCTCACAAGAGAATGTGTCCCGATGTCAGATAGGCAAGACTCTGGGTGTGATTCACTTGCAGCTGTTGGCACCTCTGATGAGGATCTTGCAGGTAGTTATAACCGAGATTATGTACTCAGCTGGGAACCCAGATTTCAATCTCTTGCCTCAGTGTTTAATGATATTGCAGAACTGAAAGATGAAAACGTACACATTCACAGCTTGCCCAAGGAGAAGAAATCTCTTGTTTTCCCTCCTCCCTTGATAACATCAGTAGCACAGCCTGGCATACGGACAGTGCCACCAAGAATGCCAAATATAACATCAAGGCAAGCATTTAATAAATATGCTCATTCTCCCATTATCCATAATCTTGGATACCCTCCACCAACCATGACCCCAAGTTTTTCTCCTTCTCTCTCTTTACTTACTATGCAGACACCTACTGCTTCTCCAGTAGTATCTGATGGGAAAATGATAGGAACATGTCTTATTGATCCAAGCTATGAACTTGCAATGGAGGAAGAAATTCAGGTCTAGGTTATTAACTGACATATCTTACAGTAAAAAATATGGCTTAAAATATATTTTGTTATTTTTTAACAGCAAAATATGCCTGTCAGAGCTATATCACCAGTATTCTTTGTTTCCGTGAGCTGAAACAGTTAAAATATAAAATAACCACAAACTTTGTAACTGTACATCTTATTCTTCCTAGAATACACTGTGAGACCATGAGGCTTCTCCTCTTTCAACTCTCACCTGTGGTTTCCTATGTAAAACCCACAGCCAGGTGCCTGATAACCAACTTGACTAATTTTACTGTTCTTCTCATAAAATACATCAATAACAAATAAAGGGAAGTAATTATTTATTTTGGCAAAGATTCATTAGCATGCTGGTGGGTTCTGACTGCTTCTATGGTGGTATTAGAAGAGGATACCAGAGGGATGTGTAAGTACAGCAGGTCTGGAGGTGGGCAAAGAATAGAGCAAGGATTCCTACAGAGCTCTTTCTCTAGTGTGTATCCAGACTTCCCAAATCTCAGCCCCTGAGTCCCAACAACCTGCTGTGCCTGGGTGGTTTCATCATCTGCTATGCCTTATACTTGGGCTTTATTAGCTATCTTTGTGCTGTGGAAACCCATTAGCACTTTCTGTGCACCTCTTCTTTATCTCCTGGTTCAAAGCCAGCAAGTCACAATCATCTGAATAATGGTTCACCCTTGGAAAACAGAATAACCATAAGAGAAAAGCAACCATCTTCTCTATTATTACATCACAAATAGATACCTGCTGTCTTTCTGTCCTGTTACAGAAGCTGTCCTGGTCCTCAGGCAACTGTAAGCACAGACAGTGTTACAGTTCTGAAGGTCTTGTATGTGTCCACCCTGGTCTTTGGTCCTGTGTTGGACCAAAGATCTCTACAAGACCAGATAATCTGGCCTTGTTTGTTGTATGTATCATACATTTGGCATTTTGTGTATGTATGTATATCCAGACACACACATGCTGCGTATGCTTGTGTATTGTATCAGATCAATAAAATACACAGAAAATACGTGTAGAATAACTGTTTTTTCTTCAATGTATATTTAAAAGTCTTTTACATCACATGGATTAGAACTGAGCTATAGGGGAGTGTCTAATTGGTGCCCAGGAATCTGCTACGACTTGGATGTGTACAGAAGTATACCTTGTACAGGTGGAGGGAAAGCATAGTGTGGTCAGGCTGAGTGATTTTGTGGAATCAGCATCAGGTGTGCAGTGGCTGCTTGTCCTCAGTCATGCGTGTCAAGACTTGCAGCCTGTGGGCTCATAACTTGTCTTTGAATAAAGATCCTATTTCTGAGGCTAAATTGTCAGCGTACACCCTGCATATAGAATAGGATCCATGCTGCTATGCAAGAGAGTGTCTTTTAAAACTGGCATTTTTTCTGTGTACTGCTGTGGAGTAGGAAACAAGACATAGCTTAGGCATTCATTGGGATAGACAAATTTTACTAAGAAGACAGAATGGTAAGTTTTATAGTCAGACCTGTGCCAGGGAGAGGAAAGCAAAAAAGAGGACTGATTTCCAGTTCATATCTGAACTGGGAATAATAGGGTATCAGTTTAAGGACATTATTTCAGAATGAATATTATTCTCCACTTGTTAGCATTATGTCATCTATAGCCTGTTTACTTTTGACTTACATGTCTTAAGTTGTACAGTAATTTCTAATAGAGCGAAAGGTGTTCTTTGGGTGTTCACTTCTGTGCAGTTATAGTTTTGGGAGGCACACAAAGATACCTTTTCTATAAAGTCAAGAACTTAGCGAACGTGTTGTTAGTTTCAGATGGTCATGGGCAAGTGGCAGCTGTTGCTCTGAGGAGCAATGAGCACATGCCATCCTGACGGGGATTATCTTTCCAGTGTGTGATCAGTGGAAGAATAAATGCTTTATACAGAAAAACTATATTTCATCCTTCACATTGATGGATGTGAAGCTGGTAGCTAGGACTTCCTTTCATGTGTAGAGTCTAGGCTAATGGATGAGTAGCTTTTTCTTTGCTAATATTGCTGTTGCAAGAGTTCTAATGCTATTAGAATTAGAAATCATTAAAAAGCATCAGTCATCATATTTAGAACAATATTTGGTCCTCACCATGCTAATGGTTGCCCACCTCCAAGAGTTCTTGAAAAATGTGAAAACTATTTCTGTTTATGCATTTTTTGCAGAGCTTGTTTTTGGTGCCTTTCTAATCAGATTTGATATTATTTGCATCCTATTTATCAAGCACATTATATAACCAATGCATACTTTGTGTTCCTATTAAGTGTTACAGCAATGTTTTCATTGTCTCTTATGTATTAGTTAATTTTTTATAAAATGAGAAACAACACGTTGTAGTCAGGCTTAAAAGTATAACCATTGAAACAAGTGTCTGCAATAAATCATGTACAGTTCTTTTAAACCTTACTGTTTTTATCCCTAAGTAAACAGTATAACTTCTATAATTTACCATGAGTTTAATATTAGCTTGCCTTGAAGAGGGTGTGTTACTTTGCAATTCTGCACACCAGTTTTAGCACTTGGGAGAAGGTACAAAACTTGTTAGTGGAAAATCATATTAAGCTCAAAAAGCATAAGCTATAAAATAAAAGACAGTTGTCTCTTCTGGAATTTTGGCTGCCTGCCTTCTGGATTTGCTTGTTGGCAGCCTTGAAAACACTAGTGTAAATCACTACCAAATGGATATAAAAATTCCATCCACCGGTAGTAATCGTTATAATGATGCTCAAGCAGATTTCTGTGCAAAGGGGGAAAGCCTTCATATTTTTAGGGAACCCATCATTTACAGATTATAAAAATGTATGCCTGTTTTCTAAAATGATACTAAAACCACTAGTTACCTACACAAGTCCGTACTTAGTTTGTCTTTTATCTTCAACTGAAGATAGGAATTGTTCCTAAATCAGTTACAGGTAAAAATAGTTCTGATAAAAATAAACTGTTGTTGCTAATTCTATTGCACTGACAGTTCCTACTATCATTTACATTTAGTTGTCATCCATTCTCTGTGCTGTATGTCACTTGTTTTCTGTAATTGACATGTAGCTTCCTGAAAAACTATATTTAACTGTTCTCTTTGGGAGACATACAAACTACAAACACGCTGCCCTGACAAAAAAAGTGTTACTAGCACCAGACTGACAGTTGTGCCCATATGGCTTTATACTTCTACAGCTCATGGAGTCAAAGACCAATTGGCAATCCAGTTGGCTACCACAGGCATGTGAGGCAATTGGATTAGACTGCCTCTCAGCAGTGCTGCCTTGAAAACCAGCCCCTGAGGATGAAGGACACAGAGGAATTGAATCCTTGCAATGAGGGAATTGCACTGGTTGGCTGTGAATGAAAGGTGCTGTTCCTTAAAATCCTGTAAAATCACAAATTGGAATAGGAGGCAGTTGCAGCTTTCTAATTGAATATACTGTGGTGAGAGGTTTATATTTACAGTTTGGCTTACTTGGCTAGTGAAATGGCTTTATGGCTTCTTGCTCTTAGTATCTGCCACAAGAGAACCAACTCACTATGGAAATATGTGACTTAGTTCCCTGTAGATGATCTGGTTGGAATAACTAGTGTTGCAGAATCAAATTGAGTATACTTTTGGGTGCTGCCTAGTTGCTAGCTCTGTTAACTGTTCTTCAGCATGTACAGAAGGCCTAATGTATATTCAGTCTGTGTATGGATTTGTATAATCAGATCTCATTCAGAAGAACTGCAGTCTGACATCAAAATCCTCTTGGTGGCTTTGAAAATTCCTCCATAAATACATGCAACATTTCAAAAACATTGGAAAAAATGTGGATGCCTAAGCAAAAGAAAAGGGGCCTCATAGAAGGGAAAAATGAAGATCTAAAACTTTTTGGTTTAGACTTGCACTTTACATTGCTGCTAGGGCTATTCCTCATAAAACATCAGATGCTTTTCTTCTAAAATGTGTAAAAAGTAACAGAGGAGCATCTGTAAGGAATACAGAGGGGCAGCAGGGTAGGCTAAAATTGCAAAATGATTATACTTCTCGACACATATGGGTTACTTGAGCAATGTAGACAATACCAAATCCTTTAGCTGATGATAGTCATAAAAATCACAATTGCTGACTTGTTACTGTATAAATGTTCAACTGACCAAACAAGTCCTGTAGTGGATGAAACATTAGATGCCAAGCCACATGCCTGAAAATGCAGATGACATAGTAAAGGCCTGAAGGCATCCATCATGGTATTCAAAATATCAATTGAAAATCTCATTACAATTAGAAAACTCAGATTTCTTGAGTATCATGTTTACTACACTTAAAACTGTTGGTCACATCTGTGTAACTTTATCCTATTGAAAATAATATTATGTTTAACATTTTTTTGGAAGGTTGGTATTTACACAGTACTGGTCACCTTGCCCTAAAACTGCATGTTAATTGCTTACAAAAAGCTTTCAGAAAACTAAGAAAATGAAAGTAAAGCTCTTGATTGTGAGAGCTGGTCAGCTAGCAGTAGCTGTTGTCTAAAAGTGACATTTCAGAATGGATAGGGCTACATGATTCCTACTCACTAGCTGTTACGTAATATATATGCCTCCATCATTTTTTGGAAACTTTCAAATGGGAAATTCAAAAGAGCTTCTAAAATGGTGTTACTGGTAATATAACCAAAAGAAAGGGGTAGCAAGTCAAACTTGTTTGCGTTGACCTCAGAAAGTCATGTCTCAAGCCCCATCTAGCTGGATGCAGACTCATTTCTAGACTCTCCTTTTTAACAAACTGTAGAGTTCATTTAATTTCAAAGGCTTTTAAAATATTGGGTTCTGATCCAATACCCCAAGACTTCTTCTAGTGAGTTCAGTGGGACTTGAATAAAAAATGCACCTGGAAGAAATCGACAACATACGTGTGTTCCTGGTTCTCCCACAAGAGTCCCTGGCAGTGGAGAGCTGTCTCCCCAGTGTACAGTGCTGTAAACCAGCAGGAAGCAGCATTAAGAGAAGAGACAGCAAGAGCCTGGAAAAGAGAGTAGAACCAGCATGCAGTGAGGGGCTGTGATTTGAAGTTGAGGTTCCTCTATGCTTCATGGTGATTGATACAAACCTTGCTTTATGTGCTTATTTTGGAGTGACTTTTAAAAGAAGTCTGAGAAGGTCTGTAAAGGAAAGGTCACCTACTGTTTCCTCATTCTACTTTTATGTAAACTACGTTTGGCTGCCTGATTTACTACTGCTTTTACTGAACGCACAGAATAATCATGCCTTCAGACAGGAATTTCTGCACTTGTCTTTGTCTTGTAAGCACTTCACCTGAGGTCAAGTACTGTCTAGAATTAATCTTCAAAATGATCCTAATAACTGTTAAAGTAGCCAGGAAGGATTTGGGAGTTGCTGAGTGGTTGTTAGGGTTTGGGGGATTTTGTGGAGTTGGTTTTTGTTTGGTGTTTTTTTGGGTTTGGGGTTTTGTTGTTTTTTGGGTTTTTTTGAAAGATGCATGTGTTTTTTCAGTTTTAAGTTGAACTCCAAAGTCATATATCTTTTGCACTTTGAATTCTGTCTTCTGTGGCACTAGTGGAGCATCTTGTGCCATTGGCTGATCACACATTCACTGGGTAGAGATTGATAAGTTTCAGTGGCTTACTCTATTCTGTGGCAATCAAATTGCAGTAAACTACATGTAACCTTGTTGCTGAAGGTCATAAACTATGCTTGATCAATGATATGTTTGAACTCCCCATTTTCCTTCAGTTTTTCCATATCCAGCTAATATGTTTCAGTGTTCACCATTTTCATCTCTCACATATTTCTTTTAACTTAGTTTTAATAACTGAAAATTAGGCATTCTTATCTCTAATCAGTTAAGGTGTGGAACCAAGATGCTAATGTTTCCCCTTAAAAGAATGTTATATGTTCCATCATTATTAGAGATAAATGAGGGTTTAATAACACAAGCTTCCTCTTAGTGGTAGTTTCTGTGTGGGGTTTAATGAGGTCTCCTGTGATTTACATT